GAATTTACCGTTTCCAGGCATGGCACGTGCTGGAAAGCCATTTGTATGCATAGAATGTCTCAGGTTATTTCATACTTGGATTAGGAGAAAGGCTCTTTTTGTTTCCTTATTCGAAATCTGGTTCTATTTTTACGTGTAGTGAACTCTTCCTGCCCTGTCAGATCGAGTCCCATCAGCCATGGCTTGGACTTTGTATGGGTGGCTGGGGGAATGGTGAAACAGTGTGGCAACAGTGTGTCAGATGCACAATATGCATCATGTTACGACTGAGTGTGCATGCCAGAGCCCCGACTGTGGTCCTTACATATGAGGAGCGTGCTGAACCTCATCAAAGAAAAGATGCTGTAATGTGTTCTTGGCAGCTGACAAAAGAGCAGTCCACATGGTGCAGAGTAATTCTGCTGGCACTTAGTGCTCATCATTTTGCCGGTCAGCAGTTTCCCTTGCAAATTTCTGTTCCACACGTTCAAGCTGATATGTATAGATATTCATTATCACAGCTGGATAATCAGATCAGAGGCCCGATGGTGAAGGTCTTAAGTACCATTCTGAGTGTTACCCAGTAGGCAGTCATAGCTGAGCATCAGAGACGTGGTGCATAATGCCCTTAAACTCCACACATAAACAAAGACAAAAAAAAAAAAGAAGAAAACACAACACTAGAAACAGAGCCAATTCCATCTCCAGTGTATTCTTTTTAAATTCTCCCACAAAAAGGATTTCATCATGTTTTTTTTCTTTCTGACAGGCTCGATGGGAAACTGCATAATAAAAGTAGTTCTTTCGCTACTGAGGGACTCAGAAGCAGGAGTAATTTTTGTTTTGTTATTTTACCTCAACAAGCTCCATTTTGTCTCTTTGTATGAACAGTAATCATGAGTGTCCTCAGGGGTCACAGGGCGCATATAGCAGCAGAACAGTATCCTTTTGTTTTCTGGGCCATGACGTTTACTGGAGTCAATCATGGCTAACAATACCTGAAAAGGCCCACAGTTGTGAGTTATACTGTATGCAAGATAATGTGAATAAATACAATATATATCTTTTCTTATTAGGATGACTGAAGGAAATGTTTTGTGAGCAGAGGACGCTATCATTTCTTTGTGCTATTTTAAAAATCGTTGCAAATCACTGGGGGGAAAAACATCTTTATGTCATGCCAATGTTATGGTTCAGATTTAGCTAGATTTAGGGGGGGGGGGGCTTGGTTAGGAAATGGGAACAATCATGGTCAATATTAAAATAACACAATGTTATTAATAATAATAATAATAATAATAATAATAATAAATAAGAAGCAAAAACTTGAAATTTGTCACTTTTTAAAATCAGAGACATTTTCACAGTTTTGTTTTTGTAATAATTAAGAATACAACAATAAGAAAAAATATAAATCTCCCCTTCAGTTGATCCATGCTTACTGCCCCTTACCCCATCTTCTTCTTCTGGAATTTGTCTCTTGGGCATTAAAATGTTGTTTTGGAGTTTTCTGCTCAAAGAAATTCTGCTTTTGCTTTTCTAGGGAAGAGATTCCCCTTTTTGAAGCAGGTTTACCCGGAGCAAAATTATGGGCTGCCATTGAGAGTCCAGACAGCAACAGACAGAGGGAAAAAGAAGGTGGAGATCCATTCACCCAACCCCAAAGACCCCGCTGTGCCAGCATCCATCCCACATAATTACACTGGGACACAAATAGAAAGGCAGTTTCTCTCTCTCCTTTTTCTCCTTCCTGTGCCGCTCAGCAGTAGTTTGCAGGGAGATGCAGAGCGCGGGGGTGGAGCGGGGGTATTTAGATGTGAGAAAAGGCAATTTGTCAAAAACCTTAGGGAGCACTGGAGTGATGACAAGAGAATAACAGCAAAAGGACTAAAGGGTTGAACAGTTAATTCTGTGATAGCAGCAGAAGAAGAATGAGGAGGAAAGGCTCAGTGTGTTTGCCTGCACATATTTGAATCCATTATTTTCTCAGATGAGCGAGAGGAAAATAATTGAAAAATGGATGTTTGAATTGTATGGCTCAGTAGCAGCACACAGACATACACACATCGGAGTAGATGCGATGTGACGGTGGCTGTTGTGTAACCAAGCCTAGTGAGTCATGAGAGGGAGGAATGCGTTGTTGTGATGGTTGGTGGAGGCCAGCCCAGGGAAGGATGGCAGAGACCATCACATCCGTAAGCAAAGTCATCTTGGAGAGTGAGGAAGAGGCTTGACATTTGTTTACAGGCCTCCACTCATCTGCCACTGGTTGTCTGGACCTCAGACCACAAGTGACGCCGCGAATGAAAATAAATGTGAGCCTCCATACAGACGTGAGCCTGAACAGAGAGAACTCACATGTACACGACTGCACACATGCAGAACAGGTACAGATGTGCAGACATACAAACGCATGCAACATTAAATGAGTGGAATATGATGCAGTGTGAAAGAAGGAGGTTATCAGTGGCTGCTGGCTGAAATGAGACAGCCTGACTCTCACACACACACACACACACACACACACATATTCCAGCTCACACACAATCCAGCACTAACACCAACAAATACAAAGAATGGTGCTTGAAGTCTCAAAATGTATGTTGCTTTGATTTAAAGTGTCCTCCTGCTGGAATCACACACCATTTGTAGTAGTACAAAAATATATTTCATTGTGTGTGTGTGTGTGTGTGTGTGTGTGTGTGTGTGTGTGTGTGTGTGTGTGTGTGTGTGTGTGTGTGTGTGTGTGTGTGTGTGTGTGTGTGTGTGTGTGTGTGTGTGTGTGTGTGTGTGTGTATCTTATATGACTGTTATTTAGTGACTTCTCACTCTCCCTGGGAGCTATTTGTTTTCAGACGCACGTAGTCAGTTCTGTTTGTAGAATGTGTGTGTCTCCCTCTGATACTTGTCTAATACTTACATGTGAGCCAAACACACACACACACACACACACACACACTCCTTTGCTCACTTTGGTACATGCTAGGATTCGGTCTGTGCGTCCATGGCAGCGTTATCATCTAAAGAGGCAAACAGCCAGCCCCTGATTTAATAAGCTGCCTAGGGAGCCACAGAGAGGTGGGGAAGCACGATCAGCTGATAACGGTCCTCCTCTGATAGCCCTGCCAAGAGAAGACTCAGCTTCTCCTCCTTTTCTCTGTTAGTGTGTGTTGTGTTGTGTGTATGAGTGATCCCCTGCCGGCTGCTACCCACGTGTCTGTACGTCCTTCCTATGCTGCATCTCTTTGGGGGTCAGACAGGCAGCAGATGAGAGCCCACACATGGCAAAGGCAGAGCCAAGCCCAGCACGAAAGGAGCATATGCTTAAAGCTTCCAAGCATACACACACACACACACACACACACACACACACACAGACACACACACACACACACACCCTGCGTTATATGGAAGCCTATCTTACCAAGCCATCGAAAGCCATGGGCCTCATTCCAGACAGATTCTCTCAGATATCACTTTGTTTGGTACTTCACACAGGCCTACAGCATTATCCTAATCATATCCTACCTAAAAAATCAACGCAACAAAAATGTATGTGACATTAGACCAGAAATAAATAAAAAAAAACACATTTTAAAGTAACTGCACTTCATTTCGTTGACTGTGATGTCTTTGAAGCTATGTTGCAGCAGTCGTTACAAGAAACAATAGCATTTTTTTTCCATCCAGTTCATGCTGAACTTTTAGTGTTGGTCTGAACAATCAAGGTAGACAAAGAGGTCAATAATTAAGATTGAGAATGTGGATATTTGGCTTGGTTTTCATGCTAGAAAGTTCGATCATGACTTTAGGAGTGTTTAATTGATTAATGGTAAGAATCAGTATAAAAACATTGTCATCAAATGCTTATTTTCATTCAGTGCATTAAATGGGGTTGACTTATTTTCATTTCAAGACTTGCAAAGCGTTTAACACTGTTTTATGTTTTTTTTTTTTTTAGCTAGATTGGTTGTTTTATTTGCACTGACTGGAGCTTAATGTAGTTAATTCTGATTTTGTCTTTGTTTGATTACAAAACCTCATGAGCAACACTACTTGTTTGTTTCTTAACATTTCAAGAACTGACTTAGTGAAAACTAAACATTTTGCCATTGCACTTAAATAATGTTATTGGAAATTGCTAATCCTTTAACATTAACATTGAAGTAAAATACATTCTGCATTCCAATATATGAACATTTATCTTGTATTATTTTCTTTCTGTCTTTCTCTTTCATGTAGGTCATCCCCTCCTTTGAGATGAAGTATTAGGTCTTATGTCAAGATCAGTTGTTACTTTCATTCTGTAGCCTTTGGTGTGTGTTTTTACACAGAAATACAATCTTCTCATAGAGTATGAGCATGTAGCAAGAATTCTTCCATGATAGGTGTACTTTGAGGTGGCCATGGTGACCTGCAGCTGACACCGATGATTGATCCTGGTGCTTGGATAAGTGCCTGCGCACCGGTGAGCACACCGGTCCACTGAAACGCAGCCAGGCGGAAAATTAGAAATCTCTTCATCCCTGGTCCATTTGAAATCCGATATCTTCCATCTTCCCCTCGCACTGGCACCTTCCCTCAGCCAATAAATCAGTAATTAAATGATGTGCTTCTCTGTATGTGTGTGCGTGAGTGTATATACATGAGGGCAGGTGCATGTCCTTGGGGGATCAGTCGTGGGCAACTGGGGTAATTAGAGTATTAAGTCTTCATCAGAACATCCCATCCCCCCCAAACCCATATCCTTTGTGTTCATGCAACAGCAACAACATGCCCACTCACAAGCTTGTTGTTGCACCAACACTTGTGCAGTACAATGTGTGTTTGATAGATGGAGGTGTAACATTGCCCCCTGGTATCAAATAAATCAGTCAGGCCTCCTCTGAGCGTAGCATCTGACCTCTTGGAAACCATGCAGTTTTAGTTCTACAGTCACACTGGGACAGCAATGTTTCCCCATGTAAACACTTCCAGTTGTTCCTTCACTTGTAACATCTGTCTCTCCCTGTGTTGTTCAGGTACGTCTGCGCAGGGCAGCCCCCTCCTGGCTTCCCTCCCTGTCCCAGGACGGCCCCTACAGCCTCAGCTCGACCTCAAACACCTCCTGCCCTTCAGACTCAATGGCTCCTCTCCACTCAGCCTTTTCCCAAACTTTAACACGGTGAGTGGGTCAAGCAATTTGACCCGTAATAGATTTTTTTTTCTAGCAGAACTCAAGATAGCCTGTAAATAGTATGAAAGTTATGACATTCCTCAGAAATAACATGACTCATTTCCGAGCAGAAAGTTATTGTGGTCTTTGTTTGAAAACTTTTTTTTTTTTTAGCTTCAGAACAAACTGTCATTTAGCCTTGTACTTTGTCTTGCATCATTTTTGAAAATGCAGGATCTTTGTCAAACAGTTAGGCAAAGGGAGTTAAACAAAACAAAACATGTAAGCGTAACATTTTTAGTGTGGTTTAAGTGGTAACAACTTGATTTTATGGTTCATGGTTGTGATCCAGATACTTCACAAGGTATGAACAGAAAACGTCTTCAAATATCTTCTGAAGACTATTGCTGTTCACCATCTCAGTGTTAGTTCTGCCTGACGCCATTATTGTTCAATAAATTCTACCCGCCTCCCGGTGCAGAGGCCTTACCTTACGCTTCGACTGCTAATCTTAAATCAAGCAATGATTCCTCCTTTCGGATTTGCTGATGTCACATCAATATCAGCGTCTTTGCAGATGACACCCTCATTAATTTGTCTCAAACAGCAGCACCAAACTGTCAGGTTTTCAAGCCCATTGCCTCTCAATGCTTAGCTTGCCTCAGTGCCAGGAATTAAAAGTGTGTATCTTTGATCCTTTACTTACCGGCACTACACTCATTGTCATACTGTGTGTGTATGAGTTCAGGCACTTTGGATTTCTTTGATCCTAGGTTTTCACTCGGTGTCCATGAGAGTGTGTGTGAGTGTGCGTGCACACTGTGAAAGCATCTCCAGTTCTGTGGTGTGTAAGTGAAACATAAGCCAGAGCTTTCTCTCCAACATGCACTTTACACCTTTTCAAACCAAGCGAATAAAAGTAGGATGACAGAGAGGGAGGGGGAGTTAGGCCACACAGACGTCTAGTTGACTTGTTCTACATTGGAGGACGTGTGTGAGGGGGTGGATGAGATATAAACGTTTGCAGTATGATATGTATACCTGAGTGAGTGGGGGGTCTTCAATCTGCAATGTGAAAAGGGCAGTTTATTCATTGGTTCTGCCACCCACTGCTTTGGGTTGTGGTGTCTCCTATACCCACCTATGGAGGATTAAGTAGCCCAGTGGTAGAGGCAGCATGGAAACAGTCATTCCTCTGACACCCTCATGTATTTATATTAGAGGTGGAGGCAGCAGGGCAGTTCTTTGGTCAGCGTTTTGCTTATGTTTCAGAGGGGAAATTGCTTGTTTCTATTTTCAAACCAATGTCTTTGGATAGCAGGTCTACTCAAGCATTATATGAGTTAGATTTTTTAGTAGAAACCACAGCAGTTTTATTTTTTGGCATCATGCTCAAGTGTTCACATAGATTATTATTAAATACGGTAAGCTTGTAGAAAGGAAATTATATTTATATTCAGTCAGTCATTGATTGATAGAATACAACTTGCAACAGGAAGTGGAACCATAACCAGAATGCAGAACTTATGATAACCATAGAAATAACATCAAATCAGTGTTGCTTCAGTCGCAGGAGGAGATGATTAGCCTCCATAAAATTCACTGTGACAGCGCAGCTGCGGCATAAATCACAAAGTCCATTCAACACAGAGCCCCAGGTTCTCTCAGTCCTGATAAGGCACATGTTGTCCCAGACGTGTGCAGGAGGGGGGAAGATGAATGCACCTGTCTCCAAAACTAAATATCCTCCGGTTCCCCTGGTGTCCCTTCTTACATTCCCCCCCCCCCCCCGCCTCATTCTCGCTTCATACCTGTGTGTGTCTCTTTCTCTCTACCTACCTTGAAATCCCATCACGGACACAGCCGCCTGGTGCAGGATAACTTCTGTCTGCACCAGCATGATGGGGGAGGACGGAGGGCTCGGACAAAAGACGCATTTATAGCAGCCTTTTCGGGATGACTGCGGACATACAATGGACACATTCTTCAGTTCTTAAAACAAATAGCTGTGTGCAGCCTGCCCTGCAGAGGTGGACAGGAGTGGGAGAGCTTGGTTTCATGGTCAGGCTTCAGCTGGTGAAGACAAAAAGTCAGTTGGTCCCAAAGGTGGCTTTGAGTTATGTAGTAGAGGGCAAAATAAAGCAGCAAAAAGACAAAGGTAGCCCTGAGGGAGAGATATACAGTACCTCCAGAGTGGAGGTTTCACTGTCAGGTGTGTTTGTATATCCTCTCACACCTGGCCTTGAGAAATACGCAGTAAATGGTCTCCACTCTTACAGAGGGAAAAGCTCTTTGTCTGGTACAAAGGAACTTGAAAGTGTACAATTCTTGTTTCTATTCCTACTCAGATATTGCTTGATCTCCTGCCATCAATTTGATTCCAGTTAGCAGTTTAACTCAGCGTGAACAGGTTCTTCCTGGCGTCCCTTACCGTGCCAGCAGAGGAATGGTCCGGGGTAAGGCCCTGTGCCAGCCTGGGGAGAGGTCCAAGGTGGTTGCAATGTGATCCCGTGCCGCAGGGTGTAGCTGTAAAGTCAGCTGTCATCATAGCTGGCAGACCATCTAATGAAGCCTCGTCTTTCACTCTATTGTTTATAGCCTGCCGTTCTGGGACCCTCTGTAGTCTTTTCACAGACAGTTAAAACTGAATTAGTCGGCCCAAGACAATCCACTGAAACACTTCCCCCGTGGGCTACAATGACTCATAATGGATTAGACAGCCACATTTTCTGAGATTACAATAAACTCTTAACTGCATAAAAATATGAGCAGCAGCGATGCTTAAAACAACAAGGCAAAAGAGCTGTTTTAGAACAAATGTCATTTTCCTTAAAAAGCATGTGTGGAGAGAAATGTACAGTTTGTTTTAACCCACTCATATCACCAGATATAAACAATATACAATCAGGCTTTACCATGATTCCATTATAGGTTTTGGACTAACTTTGTGATACAGAGTGATGGTGGGATGAAAGAAATCCTTTAAAATTTCATGACTTTTTCATTTTTATGTCAAAGAAACACATATTTTTAGCTTTTTATCATTTCTATCTCCATTAATGTGCATCTACCTCGCTCAGTACAGCATATAGACACTGTCTCAACTTGGCCTCATTTTGAGGTCTGGATATTAAATTAAAAAGTTTTTGGTGGTGATGAGAAGGCGTGGAAGTGGTTCATTAATATAATCTGTTCTGTGAGAGTGGGGAGGCCCTAATGATTACTTTAGCTTGCAGAGCATTACGAGTGAATGTGAGATACATCTTATCATCATTATCATCTGTAACATATAGACATGTTTCTGAAATCAAGTCATTTAGCTACAAAAAAAAATGTGAAACCAAAAGTAAACATTTCACAGAGCTGTAGTTTGAGGCCGCTTAGAAACATATCAATAAATCATATCTCAGTTCAGTTAAGGCTTCTGTCATATGAATCAACTTTTCCTTCTTTTCAATTCTGTCATAGCCTCGGACGTACAAAGTGAAAAAGGAAAAAATGGAAGAAGTGCAAAATAATTACATCACTGAAAATGTAGTACAACAATCCTCTACGGTAACAACATAATTGTAAAGTGGTGAGAACTGGAACATTTATTTTTTTTAAACAGCAGCATACAAGCGACTGTTCTTGCTCGTCACGTTGGGATGTGAAGATAAAGAGAATTCTGCTTGATAGTTGTACTGCACACACAACACTGTTATTATATACAAATATTAATATTTTGTAAAAGATAACATCTCTGAGATAGAATTAGGTTTGATAAGTCAAGGACAAGAGACTATTATATCCTCTGTTGTATCATGAAATAATTTAAGTGTTTAAAAGGGAGGCCATCTCTTTGTGGAGTGACGATGTTTAAACTTTCATGTTACCACAGAATGATGTGAAACTATCTCAGATCATCTGACAGCATGTGCAGCTCTGTGTTTCTGTATGGTTTAAATGTTTAGTTCCTCATGGATGTTCTCCTTCTTCTTCTTAATTAAGCTTCATGAACATATTTATGTCTGAAAACCGATTCTGTCTGCCCGTTTGGCAAAGCATTTAACCACACTGATATATCTCCTCCATCGTTTTCTCAGGGGTTTTTCAAGAATGTTTTATTCTATTGTAAGTTGTAAAAAAAGAAGCAATCTATTGTGGAACACATAAACAATGCAATCATCTTTATTTTATTTTGACTCAAAGACAATATGATAACTAGTCGATTTTCAGATTTCTCACCAGAAACTGGGGTCCCCAAAAGACTTTCAAAATCTTCAATCAACACCACTACAAAACAGAGTAAACAGAAAAATAAACATTTGATTTTCATGAAGGCAGGATTAATTTCAGGCATTTTATTTTCTTCAGTTTTTACACTGAAATATGACTTTTATTTTTAAGAACTACAACTACAGTTAAGAATAAAACTTGTAAACCTGTGAGGTACCACATCATCTTACTGCTGGGGGAAGTTGTTTTAAAGCACTGAAACGTCTCCTTTGAAATCAGATCTTACAGAATTAAATGTCTTTTACTTTGTGTTTCTCAGATGGACCCTGTCCAGAAGGCAGTGATCAACCACACATTCGGCGTCCCTCAACCCCTCAAGAAGAAACAGATCATCTCCTGCAACATATGCCATCTGCGCTTTAACTCGACGGTAAGAAATACTAGGAGCGGCTGTACGAGAAAGAGGGAGAGTTTGTCGGATCATCAAAGAGAGAAGGACATATCATGCCAGAATGTGTTATTTAAAGCACTTCAAACTTCAGAGAGATTTGCCTCAGGGTGCAACATCTCTTAACTTATTGCTCCTGCTATCCTCTGTTATGTTTTTTTCTTTTTTTAAATATACTCTCTCCAAGTTCACCTCCACTCTTATCTCTGCTGACACATTGTGTTCTATAATCCTGTATGAGTTCGTGTATGTCGGTGGATGTATGAGAATATGTGTGGCTAACGTGTGCCCATTCAAAACTCTGGAACAACATGTGGATTATTTTCAATGAATTGAAGTGCCATTATGTATAAAGTTTTTTTCTGGTTATGTATACAGAAAAGTTTGTTCTGTTTCCTCAGTGTGAGATCTGTGTGTTTGTGTCTGTGTGTTGTTGTGGTGGAGGGATTAGACAGCAGGGAGAGCAGCCGTTTATCAGTAAAGAGCAGAAACAATCAGCAGCCACAGCAGGAAGCAGCATTCTCGGATTCTTGTTCCATTCCTCCTGTCCCTGCCACCTCTATAGCACACACACACACACACACACACACACACACACACACACACGCACACACACACACAGGCACAAATGTACTTTCAAATATGCAAAGACATACACACACACACATACAGACGCACAAGAAAACATCCTGTGACATTTCATGCATATTCACATAAACAAATAGATAATAGTCCAGTAAGCCTTAAGACATCTCTTGTCTGGGCACTGTAAAATACACACACATATACGCACACACTTTTTTTTTTTGGACTCCATCTTCAAAGACGGGCTGACGCACAGGAGACGGGGAGCTGAGGGGGGAGAGGAGGCTCAGACGTGCTCTTCACACACTAGAGCAAATCTCATTCCCTGCCTCTGCACAGCGACTTAAAGAGGAGTGTCAGGTCTGACTGTAGCTTTATCTGTCTCTCTGAGAGCATGAATACTTTCCTAACACTTCAATGCACCCTCCACAGACTTTGCTCAGATATTAAACCTAGTCATCCTTTTACATAATGCTCAAAGGGGAAGTATGCAAGCTTAATCTACTGCTCACTTTGCACAAAATTACCTTAGAGAGCAACTTAAGATAGGCCAGAAGTCGTGTTTTTGCCGACCTCAAGCGGTTCAACTTCTCACCTTTCTGCGGGGATGTAAATGTAGACTCAGTGCAACGTCACTGTCAGGAGATGCTAAAGAGCAGTCCTGACCACACATGTGTGCAGTGAGTGTGTGCATTTTGAAAGGACTCAAAAGTTAGTTGAGAAAAGCAGTACCACTAGAATGTCTTGTAAGCTTGGCTTAGCACTAATATTTAAAACAGAGAAGCACTTGGGGTAACAATGTATTTCTCACTGCACCTTTAAACTACACTGTGAGGTAGCTAGGCAACCATTGAAGAGCCCAGGATTTCACAACACAAACCGCTGCAATTTAGAAATCTGAGAAAGATTTGAGCTCTGTGGCTTATTGCCACTATTGAATGCCAACATCGTATTGCAGATATGATGTATCCACTCATTTAGCCTACGGCAACAGGAGAAGAGAGTGACAGTAAATGGGTGATGATACACAGCCGTGACTGGTGGGACAGGGTCGTAGTAATATTTCTTAAGTAGCCTACTGTCCAACGTGACCTGACCTGCTCCACCATACGTGTTGGGGAAACCGGCGTCCTGCAGCCTGTCCACCACAGACTGAGATGGTCAGCGTATCGATGCTTTGTCCCGTCTAAAACTCCCATTATATTCCATCTTTTGTGAGCAAAACAGAAAACTCAGTTTATTCATTGCTCCAGAGTAAGAAGCTTGATCTTGTTGCTGCCGTGTAGTTTGTTTTGTGGGAACGTCACTTGGCTGAGGCCGCGCCTGCACAGGTAGCCAGGTGTATACATGCCACAGTATCGCATTTTCTTTCAGAGTTCTCCGGGTCGCACAATCGGGTTTTTTAAAACCAGGATTAGGGTTTATCCCGTTTCTGAAATCGGGATATGATGTTTACATGCACAAATACAAAAACAGGATACTTAAAAACCTGATCAAAACCGGAACACTCAAATCCATGTGAACACACTGTTTCAGTTTTCTTAGGTTTTTATGGAGATTCTAAAAAAAATATATATATATATATAATCTAATAATTTGGTGGGATTTAGAGCTGCTGGTAGGCTGTTTTTTATTAACTTTGGAACAAAAACAGGTAAGTTATGTCCAGTGTTTGTGCTAAACTAACTAAGCAGTAGATTTATATTTGCACAGTGAAATATCCCAGCATAAAGTCCCCAGATCCAGGTTGGCTGTTTCCCCTGCTTCCAGTCTATGTGCTTATTTAAATTATTGAGCTGCTGGAGTAGCCTCATATTCATGTAGGCTACATTATGTAAAGATATGGCAGTGGTGCCAATTTTCTAATGTAACTCTCAAATCTGAAGGAAACAAACAAAGAGGATCACCTCAGCCGCCCTCAGGTGCTCTCTGGTTGTCCAACTGCTTCTTTGTTCAGCGGCATACCCTCCGGCCCTCTGCTGTGAAGTAAAAAAGGTTTATTTAATCCAAGAAACTAAACATAGCCAACCATATGATTAGAAGAAGTGTTAGTATTAATGTATTTTTATGGATATGTGACATTTCTGTTGTATTTCTATAGACGTTGTTTATTTGAATTACCTGTCAAGGAGATGGGAAGAGTTTTTTTTTTTTCTGTCAGAAGCTTTGAAGACGGCGAGAGGTTGTTTGAAAGTTGTTGATAGAACTCATAGAGTAATTTATTCTCCTTATTAATTAGGTAGTTTCATATAGACAATGATTATTATCTAAAAGTGTGCGTTTGTGTAAGTGGGTGTTTGTAAGTTTTCAGTTTGTACCTTCACACGTCTTTTAATACTGTCACTCCTCTTGTTCGGCATAATAGAACATAATTAGGGTACATTTATTTATAGTACAGAGCACAGATCTACCACAGAAACCACTGTGATTTACATTATTTATTTAGTAAAAGCAATATTTTTCTACCACCAACCTACATTTTTAGTGACTTGAGGGGAAATGTTTCATTTCCATGCACCTCCATATTCACTACACACGGCTCAGCAAATGTTAAATTAAGCAGACCCACTTTATTTTGATGTCTTCGTTATTTTTGGCTACAAGCAAGTTATTATAGGGAGAGAGGATTCTGGGAGTTGTTCCACACCCACCTTACATATGTCCATGCACCAGATATAGCCCAGTGTTTTTCTTTTAGCCATAGGATTGCTTAATCACCGGACAACCAGGTCTGCCAACTTAGAAGTGTGCTGTATCCTGCTGGCCGTGCTGCTGATGTGAAAACCAAAGCTCATTTCACACCTTGTCTCACTGCCTCCGCTGAGACTCAGCTGGACGCAGAGGCGGCTGGTGGAGAAGGCGCTGGTTGAATTTGTCACATCACGCTAATCTCTGAAGACTTTTCACAGCAGATCAGTCACATGATGCGCTCAAGTATTCGACTTGTTTTTAGCAGGTGCTTTGACAGGCACATTATTTATAGGCCCCCTCTACATCACACCATCAGGCTTGATAATGTGAAGTGTTTAGCTTTATTCCCAGTGTGCTGGTGTTTACACAGAGTTTACACATGACACTTGTAGTGTGTGTGTGTGTGTGTGTGTGTGTCTGTTACCTTGTTGCTGTGCACACCTTACACACATTCATCTAGTTTATTAGGCCTAAATGTGTCGCTGATGCTCAGTTAATCAAAACGCTCCACATATTCCTAGTAATGAAACAGTCTTTGGTCTTGCAAGTCACTGCATATATTTATTATTTCTAACTTAGGAGCCTCTCTACTTAACATGTTTGGTGTCTGAGGAGTTGCATGACTCTTCTCCTGAGGAAGTAAAACTGGATGAGAGCCTTACAGCATCAGTCATCCGTATGTCAAAACAATCACTGTTCCGGGGGAAAAAGGCCCTTTATGCCTATTCCTTTCATCCTTAATCCATCTCTCTAAAATATCAAGGACATAAACAGTCTACATTAATAAGCATTTTCTTTGGGACATTTAAGTTTTCTGATGTAACTTGCACGACTTCACATTGAATCGTTATTGTAATTGTTGTACTTATTCAGTGCTTGTATTATGATTTTCCATGATGTGTCTGGTCTCTCTAGTTCTTCTCCTTTCTTCTATAAATGTGTCCTTTCCGAGCTGGAGCTGATGAGTGTTGATCCCTGGACGCTGTTCTAGCTTTTAATGAGTGATCTCTGTATTGATTTCTCTGCTTTTCTTATGTATCCACGCTTGCTCTGACAACAGGGGCTTTGTTCTGGGATTGAATGGGGCTGTGAGAATGATGAGAATGTGAAGGTAAATAGTGATCCACCACCAAGAGAGTAATCCGTGTGAACGTGTTTATTGCTTTTGCAGTCAGTAAGAATGTGTTTTTCATCTGATTTGTGTTTGTGTGCTTGTGAGCGCTCACACATCCGTGTGTGTGTGTGACATTAGTACGATTGTCACGTGTCTAGGACTTGCAGAGGCTGACTCTCACAGTGCACATTAATAGGGTAGTTGTGGAGATGGGATCCTCTCTCTTGTTGCATATAACACATGCAATTATACCTCTGGCCTCCAAATGTGCCATCGCTGTTATCAGGTGGAAACAGACTCTCCTCCTTTCAGGCTATGTATGCCCGCAAGAGAATATTCAGGCATGAATTTAACATTTAAATCGTGTGGGCTCCAGTCTCTACAGCAGATAATGCATAAAAATCCAACACTTGTGTCTGCTTTTCCTTTCCAAACTGGCTTCCTCTCATTTTCCTGCAGAACCAAGCAGAGGCCCACTACAAGGGCCACAAGCACGCCCGCAAACTCAAAGCCATGGAGGCCCAGAAGAACAGGCAGCGACGAGCAGGGGAGGCCTCATCCACGGGGCGGGAGAGAGAGCGAGACAGAGATCGGGAACGGGATCGAGACCGAGACCGGAGCAAGACGTCCACATCTGAGACAACACTTCCTGCGCTGATGGATACAAGCGCAGTGGAAGGGACAGGTACATAAACACATCATCTCCTCCTCCCCATACACCATCGATCATTTGCACTCCTATCCTGTGTTTCATTCAAACCTCATCAACTTCAACCCCCAAAACCTTTTTTTCTGACCAAGCCCTCTGTCCCTGAGCCATGTTATAGCTGCAGAGCTTTGAAGCTGTGGGATTGTGGACAGGGCTGGAGCAAGAAATGTTGTTAAAGTGAAGAACACGCTTAGATAAATCCCAGCCTCACTGGGGTCATTTTTACCCTCTCTGCCTCTTAATTTCCACTGCTTGACTCCCCACTCAGTTTGATATATACGGGAGTTGAAGAAGCAGAATTGGCGTGTTTGTGCAGCATGAAAAGAATTTCACATTGTGCCGGCTGAGTTGAGAGGTAGCAAAATAGTGGGGAGAGTTTTCATATGAGGTGCTGTCAAATACAAAATAAAGCTTTGCGAAATCAAAGACACTCATCTTCTTTCACAAAGTTCAAATGTTTTCACATTGATGGTTTAAATATAGACAGCCTTTTTTTTTTTAATGAAGGAAAGAGGAGTGCATTGGTTTTCCCTCTGCAGAGAATGAATGTTGACTCTTCCTCACAGCAGCTTCAGCTCAAAGAGCGTGAATTGCTCTGATGGCATTCTGACTGCAGAGCCAGCCCATTACCTTCTCATGTTGCACTCGTCGGGGTCCACACTTTTCATTTATCCATCTGAGGAGATGGGAGTGGAGAGGTGGTAGAGCACTTTTCCCCTCTCTCTACTCTGCCTCATCCTCCCCTCCACCTTCCCCCGCTTTGGAAAGAAGATCTCTATCTGAGCAGAATTTTAAAAAATGTGTTTTGATGCCTGATGGAATATCAGAGAAGAGATATGAAGCTACTAAGAGGAGGAGAGGGAAACAGTTTGTACTTTTACCCTCCCATTTAGACATGCGTATGCACTTGGATTCATGCACACGTTTTGCCTGTAGCACTAACAGTCTCCTTCAGAAAGGAGAAAGTGGACAAAAGCCTGGGAGTGTGATAACACTCTCATCAAATCTCTTTTTAATATTCTGCCGTTGCAAAAGGAGCGTCAAAAGAGGGAAGCAGCATTGGAGACGGAATGAGATGATGAGTGGAAAATGCAAGATAAGATGAAATGAATGAAGGGGACAGAACGAGCGAGGGAGGAATAAAAGGGGAGGGGGGGGCTAGATAAGTCATGGCTGGTTTTTATTTTGTGAATAATTTTACAGTTCTAAAGCAATTTCGTGAGAAGGAACACTCTTTAATAAGCCCAATTGTGTGATTGGCCTAATGTGAAATTGAAATGCAGCAGTGCGAGCCAGTGCTGGCATGCACCACAATGCCAACCTGTAATGGAATAGCACTCAAAATGAGCGCTCTGATGTGAGTTATACTCAATGAGTTATGTGTGTCATGCTGAGGGCTGCTGGGGAGCTGTCTGGGGGTAATGTCCACATTGTCTGCCATCAGTAACCAATCACACATCTGTTGGCTCTTACTCTAAGCACCCTGTCTGGCTCTGAATAAACAGAATTTAAACCAACAAGGTCAGCCTCTTTAGCTGCTAATGCACATGTAGACACAGGAGGTCGCTAACATTCATATAACCACTCTTACTGTGAGGAACTGGAGGTGAGATTGTTTTTTTAAAGTGCACAAGATCAAATCATCAGTCACAAGTATTAAAAAAGTTATGTATCGGTGCAAACTGCCCACATGACTCAAATTATTCTGTCGTTGTGTTTGATTAAAGCGTGTCTGAAAATTTGAACATTGCTTTTCAAAATAAATCGGGTGTGAAAACTTTTTTTATTTACGGATCACATCCTTTTATTCTCTAATAATGAAGCTGAATGCTGCCTAATGTGCATAAATTAGCATTAAAAAAAATAGAGTTTGTTAATAAAAACAATTTCCCCCATTCATGGTCTGGACTAAGCCCCCCAAAAAAGACCCAAATGCTCTTGAATTCCTAGTATTGGCAAGGACACAAAAAGGTTATAGCTGGCTCTGAGAATACTTGTATACATTTAATATCCCTATTAAAGAGCCAAACAGACTCTATATTCTCCATTGCATCTCACAAAAAAACAAAACAAAAAAAAACGTATTGTGTACCTTTCAAACATCTCCAACTTGTACAGATATGGTTTTGTTTTAGGTACCCAAACTTCTCATACAGAAAGGAAAGGAATCAATTGTAGAAAGGGATTAAATGATGCTTATAAACCCTGTCACAGACCAAAAGAGGAGGGAGTGAGAACCCGGTGAGTAAGTAAGTGTGAGAGCTGCTGGCCAGTGCTTGGAGACAGAGGGCCTGCATCAGTTGTCAATCCCCCTCAGCTTTGATTGACTCTGTTGTTGAAACCCTCAACATGGGGACTCTGTCTGTCACACTGTAATGATGATTTAAAGCAAGGACTTTTCCCCAGGGGACCTGTTTATGTTCTGAAGCTGCCTTTGTATCAGCGCTTGGTTTGCTATACAGAGTGCTGTGTGTGTGTGTGTGTGTGTGTGTGTGTGTGTGTGTGTGTGTGTGTGTGTGTGTGTGTGTGTGTGTGTGTGTGTGTGTGTGTGTGTGCATAATGACCCCCGTATTCAGTTACTTTGCGTTTACAGTGCATCAGTCTGCTGAATTGGCATTTCTCTAGATGTATTTGCACTCTTAAAGCCTGTCAGATTTAATTGGGTTGTTAAAGTACGAATTAAATTTGTTTCACGTAAAAGAAAACTGATGGTTGCCAGCATCACATTGATCCAAATATCTATAATTTGCTGCTGTGAAGTTCTTTTCCATAGAGGCACCGTTGCTGACACTGCTCTGCCAGTAACACTGGCCCCTGGTCTGACAGTTTGCCAATGCTGGTGGCAGTTTCTCTCATCATGTTGGTGGTCAGAGAGCAAATGAGACAACTGACAACAGACGGAAAAGGCTTTTTTAAGAGAGGAGGGCAGGAGAGACTTGGCGTTTTGTACATTTTTTGTAAGTTTTACATGATTTTTGACTCAAAAAGTTTATTCCTGCTGGCTGTTTTTTGTCTGATATTCTCCTCTTCACAAGAGCCAATAACAATTACGTTAAAAAGAGAATTCAGAAAGTCTTTAACATTTATGAAGTCGGCACAGATAAAAGGCCCCTTCTGGCAATGTTAAAATACACTAATAACAATCCAAATGGTTAGATACTCTGAGCCTTTTCTCATGACTCTCATCTTGTGTAGATGGTAGATAATTTAAATAGTTATCAACATTTCCTGTTCTTCCTTTTGATGAACTGGTCAATCATATCAACACTATCTGACTAAAGAGTATAAAAGTAACTAGTTTTATGGCTGATTAGCTTTAAGTTTTGGGAAAATTAAGAAAGCTTGAGCATTGCACGTATAGCTACAAATGATTCTTTGTTGAATGAGATCCTTCTTGATTTTAGTCTTTGGATTTTTGAGGGCTTTGATTCCTCGCAGCCTCCATGTCTTCCTCTCTAAGGTTCCTGCTTAATCCAGTGATCAGTATCAGTCCCCTCCAGAGGCAGCTCAGGTGGCTCTGTCTTTCACATCGGTTCAGGATCATATACACCCCAAGGCCTCTTCAGGGGAGCTCAAATCCCTCAGGGGTCACTCTCATTACAGCAAGGGGACTTTCTAATCTTGGTGCTATACAGGTTCTTTTTCTTTGGCAGGGAATGACAGAGGAAGACCCTTATCTCCAATGATGAATTTACTCTGAGACGTTAAAGGGAAAAATCAATGGAGCATGCTGTGTGTGTATGTGTGTATGTGTGTATGTGTGTATGTGTGTATGTGTGTATGTGTGTATGTGTGTATGTGTGTATGTGTGTGTGTGCAAATAAGATGGGGATATTCAGTGAGCGTAGTGCGTAGTGCTCTGGGGTGAAGTGTGTGACTCCCTCGGGAAGCTGCGGGGTTAAGGCGAGATGTGTAATGGAACTCTGGTGACTTATCGGCCGAGCCCAGGAGTCGATTGGTTTGTTTATATTGACTCCAGGTCCACTTGATATTTGAATAGTCCGAGGAGGGAGGCAGAGAGAAGGGGAAAAGAACGGAGGGAGGGAGGGAGGAGGCTGATGACATTTACTTGCCAGCACCAGTTCTAATCACTGTTCAACAAGGTTTAAACTAAAGATGATACTTTAATGCCACACAGCTAGAACTAGTGAAACACTGCTAAAGCTGACTTTTGTGTCGTATTAAAGGAGGTTATTTTCCAGGGATTCATTCATTGAATTTATATTTACACTCAGGAAGTTAAGCCAGTCTTAAATGTGGTTTTATGAATAGTGAATACCAGGCTTAAGTTTAGCAAGTGGCCAGACACACAGCTCCAAAAAAAAAAGATAATTTTTGCGACCAAACTTCTGAATGTTTTACCAAGCATCTCTCTACCAACAAGTTCTCTGCTTTTTAAATACTTTATTGTGATGCACTTTTGTGACGTCTGCTCTATAAATACACTTTACTGGCTATATTAAATTACAATAGAATAGTATGTCAATGACATGCTCACAACTAGCTTCGGTGGCCCACATGATCAGGTTGTATATTTAACTGATCTGATGTGCTGATTTTTTTCTTCATCTCATTCATTCAGGACTTCAGTCTGATCTAGAAATGGTCAAGCAGGAGGAGGAGGAGGAGCCTGAGAAGAGTCCTACGAGCTCAGTGATGTTGACACTGGTATCCGAGGTCTCCTCCGTGGATTTGATCACCATGTCCCCCCCTCAGATATCACCTTCCTCCCAGCTCTCAGAGACGGCCTCAGACACCAGCTCACCTGAAGCCCCAGAGGCAGCCGAGGCTCCAGAGGCTCCAGAGGCTCCAGAGGCTCCAGAGGCCTCAGAGGCTCCAGAGGCTTCAGAGGCCGCAGGCCAGACCCATGAGTCAGGCAGCCATGCAGACTCATCCAGCACAAATGAGGAGTCACATTTAGATGAGGAGAAGGACCCCAAGAAGAGCAAGGCTCACCTCCATTGTCCTGTCTGCAAAGTCACAGTCAACTCTGTCTCCCAACTCGAAGCACACAACAGCGGTAAAAGGCTTTTGAAACAATGAATTGTATTTGACAATTTTGGGGATCTGAGAATGAAATGAATGTCATTGATTGCAAATTGTCTTTTGTATCATTTAGGTACAAAGCACAAACTGATGCTGGAGGGTCACAGTGTTCAGCCTCGACGCAGAGGGAAAGTGGTGGCAGCTCGCGCAGGCTGCAAGAGTAAGCGGCTGGGCAGCAAAGGAAGCGTCGGGGTGCCCTGCAAGAACTTTCAGTGTGAAGTGTGTGAGATTTTTGTCAACTCAGAGACACAGCTGAGCCAGGTAAGGGTCAAAAGATGCATTGCACAGTTTGTCTAGTTGACCATTTAATGTATACTTAGTGGATTCTGTCATTTCCATCTGTAAATAGGGGCAACAAATGGACAATGGACAGAAATGTGTAAGAACACAATGCAGCATACTGATCCTTTAGACCAACATGACCTTAAAGAACATTTAACACTACAAAAGTCATCCTGTGTTGTATGCAATGAAAGAATAGGAGGCAAGAGAGAGCCTGGAGAAATCCTTGTGGATTTGTCAAGGCATGCTATGTGATAGTGTAGCTAACCCGTATTTTGTTTAATGGGGCGTGATGGAAGTACGGGTGACTCTACAGGAAAGCATACTGATATTCATCTAAATCAAGCAGAAGAGAAACTGTTTCTAACATTTACCTCACCTCCAGAAACACATGACGTGGCAACAGTGCCTGGCAACAAAAAGTGCCCTGCACATAGTTAGCATTTAGCGGAACCGTCAAACTGCTTTGTACAAATTGAACTTGGAGCACGCTGACCTCAAATGTCACAGGTTTTTAAAAAGCTCACACGAATGATGTATAATAACGCGATGGATAAAAAAAGATTGGATTCTAAAGACCCCACTTGATCCAAAAGGCCATTTAATATAACCTTGGCGGTGGATGGTGTAAATCAAAGAAGGGGTTTATTCTAAAGCAACATGAAAGCAGATTATTAAACCGGCAGCTATTTGCCTCATTAGACGGATATCATTTGTGCTGCAACTAACTGCAAAGCTCTACAGTGAGCAAGCATGTATATGCTGCTCATTATTGCGAGCTACTAATACCTCCCAAACTTAATTTTATGGTTACACTGGCATCAAACCAAGTCGGGGGAAGTAATTTCTCCCCCTTCTGATGTTCATTAAATGCTGCATCTGAGTGAAGGGATTGTCTTGGAGGCTTTGCATGTGCATGGAGTGGATTGTGGAAATGATGCAGATATGCTGGGATGTGTGAGCACCCAGCCTGCTTGAGCCTTAGACGCATTCCACCCGTCTTATACAAACATCCCCTCTCCCAGGAGGACATAAGCCTGTTAGGGTCGCAGCCAGAGCAGGAGACAGCTAGTGCAGCAGGGAGAGAAAGTAATGTGATGTAATTTCTATGCACTTCTCGATGTGTCGCCATTATTTATTTAGCAGATAACATTTGAAGTTGTTCCACCGTGGTATAACAGATGCTTGTTAGCCCTCTGATGGTATTTCTGTTGGTCTCGGCAGCACATGAATAGCAGAAGGCACAAGGATAGGCTGGCCGGAAAACCACCCAAACCCAAATTTACCCCCCACAGTAAGAGCCAGCCGAGCTCCAGCTTAGCGGTAAGTTTCAGCATGAAGACAAAGAAAACACTGCAATATGGACACATGCACACACACACACACACTCCGGGAGGACAATCAAGTCATGATTGCCTTTCTCTTACTGCAAATACGCTTGAATGTGTCGTACACATGTTGGAACAAATCCAGTCTAACTTGTAAACTAATGCATATTTAAGCACTTTTAATTTAGCTCCATTAACGTTAACTGATTTGACCCCTGTCCCAGTAGACAAACGGTTACAAAACACACACACAGCTCTTGTTACATGGCTCTCAGGGGCCTCTATGTCTTGCTCTTGTGTGCCTGAACTGTCATAGAGGTTAAGCACACTGTTGTACTCAGTGAATCCCCTACCCCTGAGACAGGTCTAAAACCGTCCCACCCCCCTCACCAGCACTGACAACAGCAGCCTGAATCAGCACTCCAGATTAATCACTTCTCTGCTCCTGTCATATACACACCTCCCCGTCTCTCCCTCTCCCCACACTCCTCCTCCTCTCCTCCTCCTCCTCCTCCTCCTCCTCCTCCTCCATCCTACAGAACGTGAGATGGAGTGGCTATGCAGGCGTGGCTGTGTCTGCAATGAAGAAAGCATTCAGCCAGTACAATCTCACCTCCCTCTCCTTGCAGGTCAGTGGAAGGAGAGGCCGAGCCTGGGGTTGGATTTTTAGAGAAGGCTGAATTTTAGGCCTGGCCACGGGCAGGGGACTGAGCACAGATAATGAAGAAAACACTGTTTTAAGTCTTTTATTTGTTTGTTTTTTAAAGAGGTGCCACTCAATTTACTGACCCGTGGTGATCTCGATCGAGTTTGTCAAGTGGGAGGAGCTATATCGGTGCCCCTGGTGTCTGTCAAAAGATTCCCTTTTCATTTTTTTTCCATTCACCATATTCACACAGCGGCCATTTTTCTCTGACATCTCACTCATTGATGGAGACTTAAATGCTGTTTCAATGTTGTAGTTTGTGTCTTAAATGTTGTAAGTTCTATAGACGAAGGGAATCAAACAAATAGTTCTAATGATTCAGAAGAATCTGTCTTAACCAGTTATCTGCCATCAGACGTCAACTATTTCCTATAGCTATTCTTACATATAGCTGGGTTTGAATGATAAAGTACCCTTCATTATTCTATAGCATACCTCAGAAAATGTCATGCGCTAACCATGATGTTTGCAAGGAAGTGACTTAATGCTAAAAGAAGCTGTTGTCTGATGGTAGCTAATGAGTAATTTAAATATGCTTTTTCAACTTTGAATACGGCCTTCTGAATATTCATCGTCTCTTTAAGGGCTGATCAATTTAGCAGCCTTAAAGAGTTTTGAACAGTTTTATAGATTTCCTTTAATTATATGATTTATCTTGACTCCTGAGTTACATCCAACTGGGAAGAAAGGCATTACTCCCACTTGGCAGCTCTGTGGACAGAGATTAGCCCAGTCTGTTAATCCTTTGATCTGTGTCTGATGGTATCTTGAAAAATTTGAAACAAATATGTATAAAGCTGTTTCATACTTCCGAAAAATATTCCATCCTGAATGTTTGATTCTTCTCTCAGACCTTTTTTTCTAGCATGATATAGTTCAGTTTTGTTATTAGTTTCATGCTATTAAGGTCTTCATCTTTGTGAATCACAAGTTTGTTCATTTGCTGAAGAAAGCAGCTGCAGTCAGTTTAATTTCACAACAGTAACATTGGATTAAACTGGCAGCTCTGACAAACAGGACGATTAAAATTCAAATGTTTTTGCTGCCGAGCTTCTTTTCATCTGTATACAGTTTTTTTTTTTTTTCCAATTTCTAAATTTAAAACAGAGAAGCAATTGTGTTATGCTTATCTGGTAGCTTGAACATTTTGGCTTGCACTGTATACATCCATGTTAACTACAGCCAGTGGTGTAGTGCAGAGTATACACAAGTATACGGAGTATGCCCACTTATTTTTCAGTCTCCATAGGGTATACCCACTTCTAAAGCTCCTCTGATTCACACCATTGATTGATTGACAATATTCAGTAGTATGCTGCAATTTTTCCTAGGATGGTGAATGGATGACCCTCCCTTCTCTGTCTTTAATTGGCAAGTACAAACTAAATATGCAAGAGTAGGCCTTTTATCCTCTGCTGGACATGACACTTAAAAAAACATTTCAGGGCAAAATGAAGAGTTTGTCCACTTCTTGAGGCACCACTGCACCACTGACGACAGCTGATGTTCCTTGTAAAAGAACAAACTCAAGACTTTGTTATCTGAACTGCTTTTACAAAGTTGAAAGTCTACAGAGCTGCAATGTGGTTTACAATTTTTTATTGTGAAAAATGACGGCAGCATCCTGGGGTACCTCCATTTCCATATCTCATTTAATCTAGTTTCCTTGCATTTATCTCATGGCCAGAGAGTAAAGCATTTTTCTTAGGTTTTTTTTTTTTAAAAAGGAGCACATCATGAAATAAATTATAGTTGTTGAAACCTTTTTGTGGCTGAAAAAGGATAGTTTGTCCTTTCTGTACACCTTGCATTAACCTGTGTATATCTGTCTGATGAGTGTTCATGTAACATTCTATCAGGAAACCAGTTGTGGAAGATTATTTAGTACAGAGTAATGTATAAAAATGCATTCCTCTATATGTGCAATCAAGGCCCCTGGTTTTGGGAGACATGTTTGTTTTGTTCTTCTCTCACTTCTCACCGATCCCCCTCCTGTCTTCTCCAGACCAAACTGGCCTTGCAGAAGCAGCTGACCAAGAGCTTGACAACTGGCTTCCTGCCCAGCCCCCTCACCCAGCCAACTCTGTGCACAATGGCAACTAACCCACTGGCTCTGCGCCACCCAGTGGGCACCACCACCTTCATCCAGACCCCCTTCCTGGGGCCCACATTGTTCCGGCCCGCCCCTGGGCCGCTGCGAGCCACACACACACCCATCATCTTCTCCCCTTACTAAAGACTTCGCCCCTTTCCAACTTGAGCTCCACCCTTGTCCCTTTACCAAACCCCAGGCCCTCCTCAAGTGTGACCCACATGACAAAGGCCACAAGCAAACTATGCAGCCCGTCTGACTTACCGGAACAAGTGCACAAGTCCTGATGCTCCATAGAGAGCTGTTCTTATCCTAAAGGCCAAGATCCCCCCATCATGCCTTCTTTCTGCTCCTCCTATCATGACCTAAGGAGCAGGACCGGCCTCCAGAAAGTGACTGGTGCACAGAGGCCACTTTTATAGCCATTTTATGGGTCAATGTGGTTCAGATTATGGATATTATTGTGTAATTTATTAGAGAACAAATATAGACAAGTCTAGATGTATGTTTAGTGTGGTTGCCACAGAATAAGGTCCCTTTACTTGATGCTCTTATAAAATGTTTTTTTAACTTATTGGTGCGGAGGGTTTGGTGGACAGTGGGAGGGTCGTAGATAATTAAAGCAGCTGAACCTGCAGCATCCATCTGTATGTGGACGGGTTGTCTCACTCATCAGGGGTTTCAACAAGCTTAATGGATCATCTGAGGTCATATCCTGTCACATATCATCTTCATATGGCAAATATAAGCTCTCAGAACAAGTACCATATGTCAACTTTATTACACACTACAAACAATAATTACATAATAATCCAAAAAAAAACATTTGTATTTTTATGCATTATTGACTGTTTATAAAGATACATGTACACGACCCACCTTACCTTCCTTCCACTGTACAAAAGTGAAGCCAAAATAGCCCCTGTTGCGAGTTCTTGTCCAGATGACAGGCTGCACCATTTCCCTAACCGAAACTCACATTTACCTCATCAATAAATGTAAAAGATTCCTCAGTACAGATCGGTACAGCCCATAGCAGAACAGATTCTTGTGTAGGTTTGTCACCGTTTGCTACTACTCCTTTCATAGTTACTCTTCTACTCTGCTAATCTGGTGCACGCATCGCCACAGGAGCCGCACTGGTCAAAAAAAAAAGTGGTCAATCATGGCGTTAAACCCCTATATGTAGCATCATATAGCTTTAGAAACAATTAGAATTAGAACCAAAAATGCATGAAAAATAAATCAGCATAAGATCAAGTTTGATAACAAAAACAATATTTAATGAGTATTTTGATGATTTCATTTGACCCATGTGGGATCTGTATACTTGGAGGAGGCAGGTTTTATGACCTATGAAGCCGCAAGTCAATAGCTCCATTTGATTTTGGCTTCACTTCTGGGGAGCGGTCATGTCATCCATTCTCTTATACAGTCTGTTTTACACCCACCAGTCCTCCCAAACGCTGAAACCCAGGGCCATTGACTTATATAATTAAAACATTTCTTGCTCTCTTCATTTTTCTGAGTCACTGCATCAGTCAGATTATTTTCGCGCCCCTGTATCCTCAGGATTAAGCACTCATTAAGGTCCAGAAAAGGTCAGCTTGTCAACTCAACTTTGTTTCAATTCGCAGATCTGTCCTTTCTTTAGAATGGCTTTTTTTTTTTTCTTTCTTTTGCTTCGGTGCATCATTTGTGCGTTCTGTCCCCTCCAAGCTGGCGGCATGAAAACATGTTTGCAGCTTTGGATGTCTTACATTACAAAAAATGTCATTCATTCTTATGTCCTCATGACTGCTCCTTTTTCCTTTCTCTTCCTCCTTCATCCCCATGTCCTCACCTCACTGTTGCTCTTGATTTTTCTGTGGCGTTAACTCAGCATGAGACAATGATGAGGAGCAGGGAGCACCCTTCCAAGACGCAATTGCACACACAATAAAAACACAAAGGATGACTTGAGACATGATGGGATTTAAGAGCTCAGTTTAAGTTTGGTAGACATTGGGTGGGGCCAATGCCCAGCTGGTGCTTGATTGACATCCTGTTGCAGAGTGTGAGCACAGCGTGGGAGGGAACAAAGCACAGTGCCATGGCAACCACATTAAAAGCACCTTAAAACTGATTTACTTACAAAAGCAATGAAAAATTGTGTTGATGTTCACCTTTTTTTGCTGTTGGAGTGTTTTTTTTACAATCCCATGTCAATGTTAGTGAGAATTCTGCTTTGAGAACCCCAAAAAATCAATCAGGTGAAAAGAAAATCACTTTAAGACAAGTCTCACATTTAAAGCAATACATTCAATATGTTTTATTTATAATGTGTTTTCAGTGTGTCAATGGCTTTAACTATTCTATACTGTACACACCTGTAACAATGTATCATGTACTTCAACACAGCCAAGTGTCATACTGAACAGTCAGCGTGGAATCATTTGAAATGTGGCGTTGACGGTGCTTCTCTTGATGCTCACTGTAAGTCTCCGCATGTTGGGATTCAAAGCAGACGAGGTTTCATTCACAGCTGCTCTCGCGCTGCAGTGTGACACTGCTTTTTCACTCTCAAGTGAAGCAGGGAAAAACTTTTGTATGACTTCCACTGAGCAAAACATTGTTACGTCAGAGACAAGTGTTCGGGATGAGTGTCACAAGAGCAACATCGACTGTCATATCGCTGTTCATGCTGTGTGCTGTCTCCCCCCTGCCCACACAGGAATTCGACTGACAAGCAGCCCTCCTTCTGCCAAAACGGACTGTTGGCGAGGTCTCATAAGGACTTGAAGCGTTACACATCATCCTCCCTTCATACCAAATCATGTTCTCTTAAATTACAGCGATCCTATGCATTTCTCATTGTGCAATATGTATAGTTGTTTGTGATGCAGCAGTGCCATCTGTCGTACAAACCCTGTAATTGCCATTCAGTGCTTGTGCTTCTACAGAACATCTCAACATACCTATATTTCTGTTTAAGGACCCCCGAGTGATTTTGGGTAATCGAAGCCACCGGGTTCCCCGCCATATCAATGTGACCCCCCTCCTCCCCCCAGTTGCATTACTCAGTGAACCAGCCAGCCTTTAATCTTCACTGTTTGTTTGTTTCTGTCGCTCAGTGGGAACTCTGACCTGAAGAAGTGAAACTTTCTTAAAATAAAGAATCTAGAGAAGGCTAAATTATATGTAGAAACCATAGAGTAACTATAGATATTTTATCAGAGTTGCTATTGTTATCTGTATCATAAAGAACTGCTATCATAGAAGAGGGTAGATTATGTTATTGTAGGCTCTGTGCAGCATACATGGAAGAAAAAAAAAATCTTTGTTTATTTACGTGGTTTTACAAACATGTTTTTTTTAAGTACAAAAACAGATATTTAAAAGCTTTTTTTCCTCTCCTTGTTGATTAATAATATAATTCAAGGCCTTTTTTTAAGACGATATCCTAAAGTCACATTAGCCAGGCCTTCTCAGGGGTGACAGGTTGAGCAAATGCTTACATGACCATCCATTCAGGGTATCCCTCCACAGCTCGACAGAGCAGGAAACACTGTACGCATGGATGGAGTGACAAACAAAAATAGACATACAGTGCTGTACCATAGAGAGCAAAAGTGATGGATTTTGGAAAATAAAGCTTTTAGAACTTGTAAAAAATGGTTTAATTTGTGTGTGTGTGTGTGTGTGTGTGTTTGTGCGCGCATATGTGTGTGTTTCTCCTTCTTCTTGAGTAAAAATGAGAAAACAGCAACATCCCAGAAGGCATTGCTTTGATTCAGATTGACACTTTTGCAGTGACAATACGTGTGTGGGTGTGTGAAAAAAAAAAAAAAAAAAAAAAAAACGCAGGCAGATGATTGCTTATGAATAAACAGTGACAACATGAATGCTCATGTTTACTTAGATGCTCCAAATTGTGCTCACTCTCAGTCTTTGATTAAATAATGTTTGGTACAAAAAATCCCATGAAGAAAAGAGAGAGAGGAGAAAACTCCTTTTTTGAAATGTTACTCAAGCTATCCTGATGAAATGAAAGCTCTTATATAAATGCTTTTTGGTTTGCAGGTGCAGAAGGTATTGGTTCCCAAACAGCTGTTTATGTGCTGCCACACAAAGCTACTCATTTTCAGTCATTTGAGAAAACAACATGTGACAGCAGGAATGGAGCTAAGCCAGGATGCAACAGTGAAAGCACCGCGTCCGAGCACTGTTTCATTTGTGGCACACGGACAACTGATACAATAATAAACCTGATGAGTGGCTGATGGTGTTTAGAGACAGGCTAATCTCCTGTGTCTGCGTACATTATAGGGTGCATTGTACTCCAGATTTGATCTCTTTTTCGCAGGAATATTTAGTACTCAACAATGCTCCTGGATTGTCTTAAATCAGTTTGAACAGTGTAATCAGCAAAGGATTGTAAACCTGGTGTGTGATAAACTGTGCCTCCGAGCTTTCCTCTTCCTCTCTGGATAATCATGTATTTATCTCTGTTTAGCTCTGTTGTAATTTCTCTGTTTTCTCCTGGATCATTTATTGCCCTGTGCACTTCAAGCTATCACCCCGGCCCGTCCTTTGTGGAAACAGCAGATAAGCACAGCGTCACGCTTCACCACATCCGTTGTGCCAATCAAAGAAAAGCCATTGGATCCTGCAGCACTCGGGGAGTGGGCGACGTGGCAGAAGGACACGATGACCTTGCTAAGCTGTGACACCAGCGTGTCAGCTGTATTGATCCGTCATTTTATCTGACTGAGTGACACCCTTATCTCTGGCTGTGGTGGTCACCCCGCCCACTCCATTACTCGAGGGTGACCCCTCAGAAACATTGCTTCTGTGTGGGTGTTGCATGTGAGAGAGAGTGGAGGCCTCTTATTAAAGGAAGAACAAAACGATGGTTAACACTTTTTTTATCAAGGTCCTCCTAATGAGGCCGATGTGAGCCTGTATAAGCGTTTGCCTATTATGTGTTGTTTCAGTGCTAATAGTAGCATGTTTATAGATAGATTATATGACATAGAAGGGTGTGGATTAAGCTTAATGAGGTCTCTTTTTACACTTTAAATCTATTTGTAATTTCCTTAAAAAAAGTTGTTTTAATATGAACAAAGCAACAAAAAAAGCTCAGTAACATTAATGATAGGCCTTTCAGTTTGTTTGGATCTTTGTGACACTGGTGGACAAAGAGATACATCTTAGATAAGTTACATATTATCTCTTTACTGGTTCTGTCCTGTACATGTGTAAATACTTTTTACACAAAATGCACTCGGGTTTATTTCAACATCAATTTGTATAACTCACTCTGAATCTTACGTTAAAATATATTTTAAAAGGGTTAGTTTCTGCAGCATGTTGTGTATCTCTCATCTCACACACAAAGAGAGAAACCATCTAGAACATAATGCATACCTGGTTATGTTTTCATTGATGATTTTAAACTAACAGTGACTAGTTGTACATTGTGCATATTTCTATTTTCTTTTTTAAAACAGATTTATTTTTACTAGCCATTCCATTCTGTTCCAACATGATTCCATTATAGTTATATCAATGCATAATATACTTTCATTGAGGTGTATACAAGCTTAAAACAGATTTTCACATCTTTACACTTTTTTATTATTTCTTGTTACAGTCATAGATATTCAACATTTATTCAAAAAATACCTTCTGCATCATAATTAAGATTATAAAGATAATTATTATAACAGCTTGTATTACAATGAAACATAGAAAACAGCAGGCAGTGACCGTCCATGGATCACAGTGTCGTCAATATCGCTGCACTGATTCTGCAAATTGAGGCTTGTAAAAAAAAAAAAAAAAGGCCAAACAAGGATGAGAAAAGAAACGGAGGATTTAGTTAGTTGAGCAGTTAAACAAATCAATTTGTTTTTCAGCTTCCACAGAGTCTTTATTTTGTCCTTTCACAGAGCTTAAATTGTCTTTTATTGACTGGTGGGAGACAATGTGTCAACACGTCCCCCCTGGATATATCATCATAGGTGTCAAACTCGTTCAGCACACTTGCTGGATACACAAACTAAATGAAAAATCCAATTTGTGCACCTTTCAGGATGCCTTCTGCTCTATTTATCCCAGATGAAATTATCCTGGGTTTTAGAGACAAATAATCATTGTCACAGGCTTGTGTGATGCAACATGATATCTAACATTTCACATCATTACTGGTTTGAGGGCAGCTGATATTTCCCACCTGGAGAAAATAGATGCAACCACTTTTTAAGACTGCATGCGTTCACTCTTGTGTTGTACTGTTTTGTTAATTTGATGCTTTGTTGCTGTGAAAAGAAGGTCAGTTCAGCAGCTTCTTGTCTAGTTTATCTTTGCTGGAAAACAACAAAGGGAGAAAAACGGTTATCTGTTTTATGGTTCTTCTGGGAGAGGTGGATGCTCGGGCTGCAGTCAGGGGAAAACAGTAATAAACAGCATTACAGGTTGTAACACATGGGCTTCCCCTTGTTGGCCCGTGACTCTGACTTGCAATTGAGATTTTTTCTTCTGTGGTCAGTGTAGTCTGAAGGAGGAGGACGGTTCATAAATCACAGAGACAAAGTGATAAATCGTGTTCTCGCTCTGGCCTGCTAACACTCTGTATGTTACATTTTGTGTTGCAAATCTTCTGATTCTTGTGTGGATCAATACAGAACCAGAGTATTGACAACCAGTTTCTTCCTCTATGTTAGATAATTGGGCCCACTGAGTGAAGTAACACCAGGCTCTGGCTCAGTTCTAGTCATTAAAAAGAACATGATTGAAATGAGATAGAACAAGGTAGCTTCCTCTGGGGGAACAAAGGTTAGTATAATATAATTTCATTTATGTTCCACTTGAGGTTTTCTCATTATCTTACATTAACCTCTGAAGTTAACACCCCCACATGGAGCTAGAAAATCATTTCCTCTGACTAAATATGGCTGACCTTGTCTGGCATGTCTTCACTATTAAACTGATGCCAGTCAACAACAACTGACTAATTTGACCTCTATAATGAAAATAAGAAGACTGTGTTAAAATAATAAACTGTTTTCAGTATGAGGTTTCAGAATAAAAGCATTTTTTGGTAACACTTTAAATTAAGGTAACAATATTCACCATTTGTTTGTTGCTTATTAGCATGCTGATTAGTAGCATACTGGCAGTCATTATTGAGTGCTTATTAGTGCCTTATTCTATATGACAGTTAGTCTTTAGCTAATAGGCAATTAACTAAGAGTGTGCCTGCAATACCCTCCTAATTACTGTTTATTGATAGTAAGTAGGGAAGTTGTTTAACATATTTTATGCTTATTCTTACCTCTACCTTCTAAGGGCCATATATTAGGATCAGCATACATGTTCAACAACTTCCTAACTTAGTTAGTAGTTAATGAACTATTAGATATAGACAATGACTGTATAAAGTAAGTACTAATAAACGATTTATAATGCATAATAGGCAGCCAGTATGCTACTTATTAGCATAATAATCAACTAGTTAATGTTGAATTTTGTGACCTTAATGTATAGTCATCAGTAGACCTAAGGGTTTTCATAGGGCTGAATATAGCGTTATCACTAATCTTCACTATTAATGAAGATTCAAGGATATTGTTGTTGTTGTTTTTTGTGGGGGGGGGGGACATCACATAATATAAAATATTGGTATAAAAAGAAAGTCTAAAAATTCAGTGTAGTTTAATACATTGTAATTTTTGAGGTAATTTGGCTGTCTTAATTGAAATTGTTGCAACTTGTAGTGGGCTAAATAATGACTCGCCGTGTTATATTATAGTTTTATTCTGAAGGGTCTTACCGGATGTTTTGTCTAGACTTGACGCTGGTATGTGCTCTTGCAGTTCCACATAGTGGCCACTGGAGGGCAGTAAACCCTGAATTCCCAAATACACTCAAGTAGATGGAAAGTGAAACGGCTAGCATGAGCAATAATGTTTGCTGCTGCTCATAGCACATTTTTCAAATAACACCAAGGCTGATATGACAGCAAATACTTTCACAGTGAATAAAAATGGTTCATTAAACTAATATTGAACGATATTGAAATGTTGTAGACTGAACAGTGTTTGAGGAAAATGAACACATTTGTAGCTGACATAAGACATGACTGACCTCCCTCAAGACTTTTATAAAAAATGGTTTTACAATTATTTAGAAGTGGATATTTCCCTGTAATTAAACATAAGAACATCCACTTTGTTAATAGAGGATCAGTAACGTCTTCTGGCCAGTAAACATACCACCGGGTTAGAGTTTATTTAAGCTTTTATAAACTGGGTTTGACTTGCTGTCTTTAAACGCCAATGTTTTCTTGGCCTTTACATTTGAGGGTTAGAATTCACGAAGACATGGCCTCATGATGTTTGTGCACACATTCTGACATTTGTGCTTTTGTGATGCTTGACATTTTTTAAAAGGCCCAACAACACATCATTCTGTAACAAAAGTTGTTCTGTATTTATTTACATCATTCATTTTACTAAGAACAACAACTCTGGAAAGAGGAACACCATTTATTTTTTAATTTATTCACAAGAAACGCAAACAAAACTGAAGTGAACATGGTGTACTGATAATAACAGAGAAGGCTTTGTTTCCACATCTAAACAACGTTGCATGTATGGTACATAATTCTAATCAACTCTGGCACAAACTCATGATATTCAAAACAATATCGACACATTTCCCTTTTCATAAAACACACATTGGAAGCTTCTCAAATTTTCACTCGTGCTGCTTCCTGAATAAACAGTTCAGTGACCAGGTTATTACTTATATTTAATTTTACTTTTGTAAAAAAAAAAAATTTAAAAAGATCTCAGCCTCAACTTCATCTGTAACTATGTCTAACTATACGATGAGTTGTTTTGTTCATGCCAGAACATCTGACGATATTGAATGCTCTGTCTTTCATGTGTCACACAAAAAAAGCAGCATCTGATCCTGCAGAAACCTCGATTCATATGAACATTTTTTTTTTATAACACATGTGCTTTTCTAAAGCTTGTACAGAAGGCAATATGTGTTGAAGGAATGTCAATCATTCACTCCCAATAAAGGAACATAAAAGGTGTAACAAATCTCTGGATCAGCAAAATTACTGTACAACATCAATAATGTGTCAATAAACGTCCCTTCACATGTTGGGTCTTTTTACAATGCGAAGAATTCAGCATTCGTGTGATGCAATCATCAGGTAACAAGAGTGAGTTCAGTTTGTATAAACATGTAGCGTTCATGCAAATACATCTGTAGCCAGTGTACATGTGAGATAGGTTCTAATTTATCAACACGAGGAGAGCCAGGAGTCTGCCATCTTTATATTCTGACCCTGAAAGTATCAACTGAGATTTAAATGTGAATTGTCAGCAGCTCAAGAACTTCAGCATGACAGGAACCTTAGCTAACGGATGATGAATAGTTTGACAATAACACAACCTGTTAAAATGGGAATGACTAACCCAAACCCCAGTATTCGTCCATTTCTCAGCTGATATGCCAAAACATCAGCGTTCTCACAAAGTCATCATAAAGTCTTATTTTTCCACACACATCAAATTTAGATAGCACTCACTGTCAAAATAAATGTCCCTACAATCAACCATCTTTCTCTCCACTTTATCCAAAAGAGCGTCTACTCCCTCAATGCTTCAGTGTTTCTGAATAGATACTAAGGGTTTGATTCCATTCTGCACCCCTCTCCTGTCTCCTTACTCACTCTTCACATAGCACCAGTGTCTTATCATTTAGCTGTCTGTAGAACCACTTCCCTTGTTCTTATTGCGACTGAGAGGGAAGGTGGACTTGCTCTGTGGCTGGGTCATTTTGCTGGCTAGGTAGACGAAGGGTTCAATCAGCGTGCGCCGATCCACCACCGACACCTCCCACAGACGCACCTTCTCGTTCTTGGCCCAGTTCTGGGCCATGTTAACCTCGACTCTCCTCTCGTCCTGCCTGTCCAGTTTGTTACCCAGCACAACAATGGTCACCTGTGGAGTGTGGGGTTAAGGTCGTCAGGTTAGTGTTATTAACGTTCTGCCCGATTCAGAGCACTACAACTAAATGAGATTTAAAGAGAATCAGAAGAAACAACAAGTCATTATTGAGGATCTCATCTAAGACAAAGAACCAAGGAAGAAGATCATTTTTGGGTTTTTTTTAAGGACTGATCCCCTCTAATTAATCCAGCTACATTGAATGAAAAACCTCCCCAACATATTAACAGTTTTAGACCTCACCTCCTTCTTGTCTCGGTGACGGTCGATTTCTTTTTTTAGGGCCTCCATCCGCTTAAAAGACTCTTTACTGTCAATGCTGTAGACAAGCACGAAGCCATCCGCAAAAGTGAAGTAATGTCGAGGAAACTCCAGCCCATCGCGGAGCCCTCGGGTGTCATAGAAGCGCACCTGCTCTCGTGTGCCGCGGTCAGTTTCTATGGAGCCGATGTAGATATCTTCCAGGGTCTCCATGGGCTCTGAACCTGACCATACAAATACAGACACACGTTGTGATAAGGGTTGGTATGCCTTCTGTACGTCATAACTTCAACATTTTCAAGGAAACATGTGCAATCTATTAGCTCAAAATGAATCTTGTTTACAAAGTAAACAAAAAGACAGGTATAGGATGTAATAAGCTGTGTATAAACAGTTTATATTCAATGATAATAGTACTGAAGGAAAATAAATTGTATGTATTATCCCGATGTCTGACACTCATGTTTATTGACATTTAAATACTGGATATTATAGCAAGTGTTATGTGGATTACTAAATCATCTTGAATGTTACTGTCGTTTAAAACAATCATGGCTATCAAACTGAACAATGACTAAAAAAAAGGTGTACAGTAAATTCAAAACAGTAATAACATAATTATGTGTAGAAATATCCTGAACAGTGTTGTTATGAGAGGTGGGGGGGGGAAAAACAATGTATGTAATGACTGGAGTAGATCCTGAAGTATGTAGGCTACTAATTCAAAAACAGACTTTGAATCCATGGATCCAGAATCTATTGGAATCGAAAATAGAATCGAAAAAATAGATTCCAATTCCAATCTGCTCAGTGCCTCCGCATGGTTGATACAGCCTACCATGCATCCTTGAGGTTCATTACGAATTGTAAAGCTCTGACTCACCATTGTGAGTCGTACCTCTCGGGTTGGACGGCCCACTTTGGCGACCCGTAGGCTCATACACTGGTACACCTTTATATATAAGGCGATTCTTGGTCTGCTTCCTCTATATCTATTTGTTTTTTATCATGCAGAGAAGTATCGGACAGTATCCTTTTTGCGCTCTCAGGACCTCTTCATGCTCTCTGTCCCAAACGCTCGGACAGAAATTGGGATTTTGGGCTTTTTGGGTATTCTGCACCCTCAGCCTGGAATCTGCTGCAGAATGACTTAAAGCTCAAGGAGCATGGTGTCCTTAAATGTTTTTTTTTTAAATCTCAAATGAAAGACATGGAAGCAGATTCTATAGGACGTCGATGTTTTTAGCTTGGCTGCTTGAGTCCCAGATATGACTCATAGATGGTTTCTATTTTTTAATCCAAAATGTTGTGCTTTGTAAATTGTACTGTGTCTCTCTTTTTATTTCCGTCTGTAACTTTGTGTTTTTTCTTTTGCTGCTGCCTGTCTTGGCCAGATCTCCCTTGGAAAAGAGGTTTTTATCACATCAGGCTGTGTCTACAATGATGTCGATACATTTTAAACCGCATGTTTTTTGTCTCCTTTTGACTTTCTTTCAGGAAAAAAAGGTGGCATTTTTAACCTCTGAGGAAAAGAAAGATACTCAAGTGTTGTCAACCTCCACAAACAAACAAGATCAGGTAATAATATCAAGTAGCAACAACAACAACAAAACAGTGACCGTATGATGATTTAATCTCAATGGGACCAACCTGGTTGAATAAATAAATAAATAAAAATCGGAATCGTATCGTGAGACACCCAAAGATTCCCAGCCCTAGATGTTAAAACACAAGATGAGGTTTACCTGCAACATGGTTAGCATACAGCAGTTGTTCCAGTACAGCTGTTTTACCAACTGCAGCCTGGCCACATACAACCACTTTACAGCTTTTGCCCATGACTCACTCCCAGGTCTGAAAATCTGTTATTCGGACACACAGGTGTGAAACATTAAGCATAGCATGGCACCACAATGACATCTGGTTAGAAACTTTACAAAAAAAACAACTGATTAATTCATTTATTACTGCGCTGACGGTAATATCTAACTTCATGGGTATGCACTGTCAACAGTCTGATTAGCATAGCATTAGCTTCCCGTGAGAAACAGATGGCGTTATCACAAACCAAGAGCTACAATTAAAAATTAACAGCCTCATACGAATCCGTGTCTTAACAACTAAACACGATGATATCAGCCACATGTGGATAACGGTTTGTTTTTTCTATTAATACATTTTTTTTGGCGTGTAAGCAAACAGCTTTTTCCCTTACCGAGCAGACCACTTCCTGTTTACAGTGTGTGCGTAACTACTGCAGTATGAGGCCCCGCCCCCTCCCCCCGGCCCTCCCCCTCCCCCCCGCCCTGTTCAGGGCAAAATGGCGACGGGGAACTGTGATGCTGTGAACATGGACCCTGATTTGGACCTGCTGAGTGACGAGGAATTAGAAAGGTACGACACATTCGGGGTATTTGTTGTCAGCGACTGTAATAAAGCTTTACTGAAGTGATACGCTGACATGTTTGTCCAGAAGTCCTTTGTTATGTTAATAAAAAATTAAAAAAAATGTTCGTCGCCCTCTGAAAAGCTGGCCGCTTGAGTGTCTGGATAGCGTTTGGCATGGTTGTTTTCCCATCCAGCTTGTATGTCAGCTTTAATTGAACAATTAATCTGTCATTGGCCGTCTGGTAAGAACTAATCATCTTGTTAAGTGTAATGCTTTCACGTTTTCTAATATTCTAATTATGGCAACCCACTGTGTGGTCGTGATGTAAAAACATGAGAGGCTTCCAAAAAAAAAAAAGTCATGGCAGTAGCCCACAGCATGGTGTCATATGTTCCAGGGTCTGCCCCCCCCCCCGCCTGCCTGCCTGCCTGCCTGCTTCACAACATAGCTTCGTCTTTGATTGGTGTAGAGACACTTCTGCCCTGCTTGGTTTGACTCTTTCTATGTTTAGCTTAACTCAGGCCAGGAAGTTCCCTGATGCCTCACTGTCTGTTACAGTCCTGTGCATGGCTTCTTCTTCTTCTTCTTCTTCACGCATCATTATAGCATGTGATGCTCACATTTAACAGAGAATTAAGTTTGCTGTCAAATGGTCCAGTGATGCAAAACCAAATCAGCAAGTCGACCTCCGATAATTACGCCAAGTAAAAGTCACATTGTGCCATTAAGTCCACTCATCCAACTCTTGTTTACCAAGTTTGCATTTAACCTTTGCTCTCTCCCCCCACCACCCCACCCTAAATGTTACACAGGGAAGCGGAGGGCTTCAAAGAGCAAGGCAATGCCTTTTACATCAAGAAGGATTATGCAGAAGCATTTAATTATTACACCAAGGCCATAGGTATTTATCCCTCAAGAATTTGGGTCATTCTTGTTAGTTAATGGGGATGCTGTTGATTTGGTGTTTTGATGGCAGGTGAAAGTTGGATTGATGTCTGTCCCTGAACTTGTATTTTATGCAGACATGTGTCCGAAGAACGCAAGTTACTATGGAAACCGGGCAGCCACACTTATGATGTTGTGTCGGCACAGAGAGGCGTTGGAAGATTCCCAACAAGCAGTCCGGCTAGATAACTCCTTCACGAAGGCAGGTTATGGGAAACGAAACGGAATTTTAGAGGGAAAGAATCACTAGAATCATTTTTTTTACACCTTCATCTGTAAAACTTTATTTATGGATTCATTTAACAGTAATCCATATAATCAAAAGTTCTGCTTCTATGCAGAACGTGATCCCATATTACTCTCTGATGTATTGTTACTTTGGTGAAAGTTAAATATAGAGCTACAGATGTTCTGAAAGAATCATTTACATGGGACCATGAACCACAAATATTTTTGATCACGTAGTTCAGATCTGTGTACCTGTCCTGCACATCCCTGTACTTCTTAGGGGTTTAGCAGAGGTTAGTGCTGAGTTACTAATGCTATGATTTGACAGAGGAGTATATTCAGGCACATTGTTTCTTCAGTAAGTTATCTTTAGTCTTTTATACACAGGGCCATCTGCGGGAGGGCAAGTGCCACCTGTCCCTTGGTAATGCTATGGCTGCCAGCCGCTGTTTCCAGAGGGTTCTGGAGCTGGAGCCTGACAGCAGCCAAGCCCAGCAGGAGGTGAGATGTCCTCAGTTTGACAGAGCAAGAACTGACAACATGGCAAAGATTATCTGCTATCAGATTAGCTTTGGTTTCAGATAAAGTGAAAAGATCTGACATTGAACTGTTTAAGAGGGGATAAACTGTAGTTCATTCTTAATGGGGTTACTCATAGATTGACTGTTGTCTGTAGTTTTGAAGGTTTTTTTATGCAGTAAACAGTGAAGGGACCAGTGGGAGCCGCAAAGCAGTTAAATAACCACTACGTGTGATTCACTGACACTGAGCACCTCCAATGTCTTTATCAGCTGAAAACTGCAGACTCGATCCTGGAATACGAGAGAATGGCCGAGATTGGATTTGAGAAGAGAGACTTCAGGATGGTAAGCTACGCAATGTTAATAATAATGTTAGTTTATCTTGTCACTCGTGTGTTATTTACAGTATGTCATGTCAATCGACACAGACTGAAAGTGTGCTGTGGTCGTCTCCAGGTTGTTTTTTGCATGGATCGGGCCTTGGAGTCAGCCGTAGCCTGTCACAGGTTCAAGATACTGAAGGCAGAGTGCTTAGCCCTGCTGGGACGCTACCCTGAGGCTCAGTCTGTAGCCAGGTAAGCGAGCGAATTAAAAAAAAAAAAAAAGAATGTATTCCTTTATTTAGTTTACATCATTGAAATATGTCTAACTGAGTGCAAGGTAAAGCCGAATGAGACACGGGTGTGCATTTTACATTTACAATTTTTATAGGTGATCTTTTCGTATTTCCTTCATCTGTGTTATTCTCTTTTTTACATTTAATCCTACCTCCTGTGTTTCCTCATTACACCTTGCATTTCCTTAGGACCTTACTATGTTATTAGTTTTGGGAATTGGGGTGGTGATGAGTGGAGGGATTAACACTCAAAGTTATTATAAGAATGTTGTTTACCTGTGGGGTACCTGGAGAGAGAGAGAGAGAGAGGGTGCTGGAGTCAGTGTAGTCTTTGATGGCCGCCACTTTGACTTTGATTTTTTTTGTGTGATTCTTTTGACTATCTGATTATTCTGTGCTTATTCTAATAAGTTGCTTGTTTGTTTTCATCATTTATAAGTTTGCTTTCCTGAAGTGAATACATTGGCATTAACATAAATCATTTGCTCCTGTTCAGTGATATTCTGCGAATGGACTCCACTAATGCAGACGCTCTGTATGTGCGTGGTCTCTGCCTGTATTATGAGGACTGCATTGACAAGGCGGTCCAGTTCTTCGTCCAGGCCTTGCGTATGGCTCCTGACCACGACAAGGCTCGGCTCGCATGCAGAGTGAGTAACTTTGATAACATGTATGTCTGAATGGAGACTTCACCTGTAAAACCGGCTGTAAAGTCGTATGGTAGAAGAAAAAAAATACAACATTGAGGTGTTGTGTCATCCATGTTTAAGCCTCACTGACCTTGCTGTTCAGGCAGGGCAGAGTAACTCTTGTGGGTTTTTTTTATTTTATGCATTGTCTTTCCAGAATGCTAAAGCACTAAAAGCAAAGAAGGAGGAGGGGAACAAGTCGTTCAAGGAAGGTAACTTTGATGCAGCCTATGAGCTCTACTCGGAGGCGTTAACAATAGACCCCAACAACATCAAGACCAACGCAAAGCTGTTCTGTAACAGGGCTACTGTTGGGTCAAAGGTGAGTCACATCAGAAGAAAGATATCAGCAGTTGCATCAACAAATGAACAACCTCTGGGACTGTTTGCTGCATCATGAGTTACCACAGTGACACACTTCTACATCATATGCACATTTTTCGCAGAATAGATGTTAATAGTGATAGAGCAACAACTCTGACAAATGACACACAAAGAAGCTCAGGCTTTACACGTCGCCAAAGTCTGTATTTACCTTACAGGGCCGATCAGGGGCTTAGCAGGTTCGCCCCACCATTCCACATCTGTGCATAACATATTGCATGCAAGAAGTAGCATGCAACTTTGCAGGGGGGTGTAAGTATCCTGGCTCCTGTAAACTCAAAATGATTCTCAAGTCAGCATTCAAGTAGACTTTTCACTGTGCTCCATCTGTACCTATAACTCCATGAATGTATGTTATATTTCCCATGCTGCTCCTCCTACTAGCATGTCAGCAGAATTAGGTTCCTGTTTGTCTCTCTAACTATTTCTTGCCAAGTTAACCTTCTGTCTTTTTTTTTTTTTTTGAAGCTGAAGAAACTAGATCAGGCCATTGAAGACTGCACAAAGGCTGTAAAACTGGATGAGACCTACATCAAGGCCTATTTACGGAGAGCACAGTGGTATGTTAACACTACCTTTGTTGTAGACATAGACGTTTGGTTAATTTGTATTTTGATTGACTGATGAAAGATGTTACCAGGGGCGCAATTGGCCTACTGGTTAACTCATGCGCCCCATGTATAGTGGCTACAGTCCTTAAAGCAGGCCTGCTCGGGATTAAATCTGTCCTGTGTCTCCTTTTCTACATGTTATTCCCCACTCTCTTTCTCCCCGATGTCCTACTCTATCCACTTTTCCTGTCTCTCTAAAAAGAAGCCCAAAAATAAATCTATAAAGATGTTAATATTATCTGCTCTCTATCATAGACTTATTGGTGTATGTGTGTATTCTGTACAGCTACATGGACACAGAGCAGTATGAAGAGGCAGTGCGAGACTATGAGAAGGTTTATCAGACAGAGAAGACAAAAGGTGAAAATTAGTGGCAGTGGCTGAGCAAACTCAGCCTTTAGCAAATATATTCTGTTTTGATTGTTTTTTTTACTTACGTCTTTGTGATGTTGTAGAACACAAGCACCTTCTAAAACATGCTCAGCTTGAGCTGAAGAAAAGCAAACGGAAAGATTACTACAAAGTGCTCGGGGTGGATAAGAACGCCACAGAAGATGAGATCAAGAAAGCCTATCGCAAACGTGCACTTTTACATCATCCAGGTGATCAGATAGTTATTGTGTGATTGAACACAATTATATATCTACAGGTTTCACTCAGTCAAAAGGTCTCGTGTGGTTTTCTGTTTTTTCATTTTTTTTTATTTTGCTCTTCGTCCCTTTTAGACCGTCACAGCGGCGCTAGTCCCGAGATGCAGAAGGAAGAGGAGAAGAAGTTCAAGGAGGTGGGCGAGGCTTTCAGCGTGCTTTCAGACCCTAAGAAGAAGTCTCGCTATGACAGCGGTCAGGATCTGGAGGATGATGGCATGAACATGGGAGGTCAGCACAAGGGCAAGCCGTGGGGTGGGAGGTCTCGAGGGTGAAAGTACATGTCATGTCTGAACTTATTGACCCCCATTATGCTACAAAACTGTTTTTTTATAGTAAGGATCTGGCTGTGAACTTCTCTGTTTGTTCTTATTTGTTTTTTTTCTCTCCAGATTTTGATGCCAACAACATTTTCAAGGCCTTCTTTGGAGGCCCAGGAGGTTTCAGTTTTGAAGGTAATACATACAAACTGTAGCTGTACACTCTTCAACTGTCAACCAGAGGGAATGACATCATCATTCTGAGAATACAGCCGTGATTGATTGTTATTGTTTGTTTGTTTCAGCATCTGGACCAGGAAATTTCTTCTTTCAGTTCGGTTAATACGAAGATTCTTCCACCTACATGTTACCACATCAGGACTTTTCAACAATGTCAACCCCCTGACCCACCATCCATATTTAATGACTGACTTATTGCAAGTCAGATTCTTGTCTATGCCATTGACTGAATGAATGCAAACCAAATGACCACACGCAGCACATCCCGCATAGCAATGACACCAGGACGGCTCTGGCTGAGTTGATAGTGTTACTGGTTTTGGATTTGGTTTTCTTCTTTGCAGGAGAAAACAAACTTGAAAGTCAGTAATGGCTAGTGACTGGTCCAAATGGTCTCTTCTGTTTGAGAAAGGAGAGATTGTGCAGCTATTGTATCAGAGCTTATAGGGAGCCATGCAGGAAGTGACACCCATGGGGAAACTCTTGAGATGCAACTTAGCAAGCTATTACCCAGCTCGTCTCAACTTACTGCTGAGGAAGGTTTCCCTGCATGAAAGTTTGTCACTTGCTTAATGATTTCTGAAGAAAATCACTGAGCAAGCAGCATATCTCCCTCTTGTTGAAGAATTTTTCAGACAAAAAGTTGGCTGCTATGAATCCACACTGACAACTGCATCTTTGTCATAAGCAAATAGGAGTCTTTTTTTTTTTGGTTATTTTTACAGCTGGAGCACAGTAGAAAGACAGCAGTGGAGACCGCTGCTGTCTTTATAACCTGCAAAGTCCACTTCCCTCTCTTTGTCACAAGTTTTATGTTTGATGTTGCCATTCACAGATTGCTGCATTGTACATTTTACTGGAATGTAAAGTGTTGATTTGTGATGATAGTTGAATATTTTTTCCATTTTTTTTTTTTTTTTTTGATATGTATATTTATTGTAAATTTGCTGTCTGGTGTTGGTGTAAGATGAGGACACTTTTCTTCTATACAAAAAAAAAAAAGTTTCAAAGGAGGCAACAAGAAAGAACATCCTTCGACACAAATTAAGGAAGAATATTGTTTTTCTTGATCTGCATGAACTTTTGCACAGGAAAACATGTGCTATGTGTGTGTGATTATAACGCAGGCTGGCTTATTTTACTCTTTGCAACAGGGGGACATAAGAATAGAACAAATATGACATTTAATGTGTTTGCTGTTATCAGAGGTGAGGCACTGTGTGGGATGATGGAAACGTGGATGGTTCAGTTAACTCCTGATGAGTGTGTTGCTCTCCTGGTGCACTACATGAAGCAAAGTGTCCTCATCTTTGCTCATCGTTTTTGCCCTTCTGGTGAAACCATCCTCCCTTTTACCCTTGAAAAGTACCAGCCATGTCAATAAAGTTGGCCTCCTTTGGGTTTCCCCTTAATGCAACGTTTCCTTTTGTTTTAAGTGTTTGATGAATGTGATTGTTACGCGCGTCGAGCAGAAGATGGCGCTGTTACTCCCAATGTTTGTTAGTGTGGTTGCTATGATACCAGGTGACTGGAGATGCTAACACATGAACTGTCTGTAGGTAGCATATTGTAACAATAAATTTGCTTAAACATGTCGGACACAGACGCAGTTCACGGAGGTCAAAAGCAGAAGGACGTGTTCTCCACTCTGCTGGCTGTTGGAGATTGTCTGTTCCTTAAAGGAGTGTATAACAAAGCTATAGAAAGCTACACAACGGTACGTTCTAGCTAATGAGCCTGCTGACCATGAAAACTTGGAGTTGCAGCTTTTAAAGCTTGTTGAAATGGGCTATTTGTTGGTCTGTTTTAGGCACTGTCCATAAGGCCGGATGATAAGACATGCTTTGTTGGCCGAGCCAAATGTTTCATGAAGATGGGGCAGTTTGAAAACGCATTGAAAGATGCTGAGGCTTCACTCAAAGAAGACAAGACATATTTCAAGGTAGGCCTACTGCTGCAGGTTACAAAACATGTTCACTGTCTTACGTCTGCTCGTCTTCTTCAACAGTCCCACTCTTTCATGTCAGTACTCAATGAGAAGCCCAAAGTCATGTATCTTATTGTGATTCTTCAGGGGTTGTACCAGAAAGCCGAGGCATTGTACTACATGGGAAAATTTGAATTTGCACTGGTGTTTTACCACAGAGGACAAAAGCTGCGTCCTCTAATGCAGGAGTTTAAACTGGGTATTCAAAAAGCAGAAGGTGCCATAGAGAATTCTGTTGGCAGTAAGTAATTCAGCCCTATTTTTTTGTTTGACCTTTTACTGTAGTCACAGTAAATACAAATCAAACATTTTGTTGCTTTTTGGTCTCCTCTAGGCCCTTCTTCTGTAAAACTTGAGATTAAGGGAGGCCTAACATTGCTCCCTGAGGAAGAGAAGGTGAGTCTCCTGTCATTTTTGACTCAAAAAATCCAGTAGGTCTATTTAAAATTGTTTCTTTTATCAGTTCCCATACAAACATCAATCCTCCCAATACAAACTCCTGTACTACTTTGCTTCCCACTTCATGATGATTAATTGTGTTTCTGACTGGCTGGCAAAGAGGGAACAGCCCATCACCGCTACTCAGCATCCGACCACAAAACAGCAAAACCAGAAGAAGTGTGAGAAGACAACAAAACAACTGCTTGGAGAGTTTTACAGTGATAAGAAGTTTCTCGAAAACCTGCTTCACAATGAAGGTGGTATGCTATAATTTACCATGTTTTTGCTTCTCTGCATCTTGTTAACTGTGAGCTTCATCAAGGTCTTTCTGTTCATTATATCAATTTCAACCAATCCAAAAATCATCTTTTTCCCTTTTATAACAAGTATTCCTGTTTTTCCCCATGATCTCCAGACTTGGCAAAAGGTAAGACAAAGGGTGGGGAACGATTGCAGGACGTTATTCAAAGCTGCCTCTCATCCATTGACACTTGCACAAAGTTTTTGAGTCAGAAGAAACCAATCAGTGCACCCAAAGGGCAGTGTAAGCAAAAATGTAGCAAGCCCCACCGTAGCCCACCCTGTGAGCCTGCTCTGTTTCTGTTGAAGAGCCTGGATGAGATTGATACAGGTAAGGCACGCTTCTGGCTGAATTTTGTCACTTTTACTTTTGCGTATAAAACACTCACTTTCGTGTTTGCGGTCACAGCGTTGACATCTGGAAATGCTGAGGGTAGTCTCAGGAAGGCAGAAGAAGTGATGAAGGCCTTGCAGGGGTGGTCAGAGAGAGATGTGCCGAATAAGAAAGAGGTTTTGGGCAGCCTGCACAGTTGTGTTGGCAATGCCTTGATGGACTTGGGGGATTTGGACAAAGCATTAGAACACCATCAAAAAGACTTGGAGTTGGCTTCACAGTGGTGAGAATTTAAAGTGACACAACAGGAGTTAGTGAACCTCACAGTTATAGATTTAAATATTCAGTTGTCTTTTTTTTTTTGTCATCAGCAAACTTACACAGGCAATGTCGAGGGCGCTGGACAACATTGGGCAGGTTTATGCCCAGACTGGACAGTACACACAGGCCATTGAGTGGTACGTAGTCACACTTCTCGTCCGTGTGTGAATGATGAAGATTAGCTTATGTCTTTGTTTTCCTTTCACTGTTTTTTTTAAACTTCAGCTGGGAGAAGAAGGTTCCCCTGGTCTCTGATGTTCTGGAGAAGACCTGGCTGTTCCATAACATTGGTTGGTGTTATCTGGAGCTTAAACAGCACCAAGAGGCCAGAGACTGCGGCATCCGTTCAGTCGCTGCTGCTGAGGAAATTGCTGATGTAAAATGGCAAATAAATGCCAATGTTTTAGTGGCACAATCAGAATGTAATTATACATCTTACTTTAAGATTATGAGAAAAGGTCACATTTTTACTGAATACAGCTTATCTGTTATGTTTTTGTGAACTATTTAGTATTTCATTACTGTTGTCGTAGTTCAAACTTGACATGAAAGTCTCTTTCCTCCTGTTCTTTTCTCAGTGAAACTTGAAAACTTCGAATCCTGTATCTCGTACTTCGAGAGAGCCTTGTCCAAGGCCAGACTGCAAGATGACCACTGTGCAGTGAATGCCATTCAGAAGGTTACATCATGTTGTCCTTTTTTTTTTTTTCATCTCTATCTGTTTGGTGCCATATCAATACATTTTTGATTGTTGACATTTTTCCTTTTGCTTTCAGGCTCTTGATGAAGCAAAGCAACATCTCCAGCAGTGAGAGTGGTCTACACACAAAAAAAACAACTATTGAATGAAATTTGATAGAATAACATTTTGCTTCTTTGTTGAGGACATTTGGTTGGAAGAGCTTTATAAAATACTTTATTACACTTATTCAAAAGTCTTCAGCATTAAGGCTTCTCCAGGTGATAGGTGTAGGATGGACTGTGGTTCACAGGAAGCAAATCACTACCACTTTTTTTCAAGTACACACTTCTTTGTGTACGATTCACAAAGAATTAACAAATGTTTTAGGGACAAAATGTTACTTTTAAATGGGTCGCAGAAATCTTACAATAACTATGAATGACTGAACTACACACTTATTTAGAATACAGAGCAGCTTTCAGCGATGACAGAAAGCTGGTATGATATAATTCATAAAATCTTTATATTGGAATGGATCACCTCCTCTTTGAGGCTTTAGAAAAACAATAGAGTAGTTCCAGAAAAAAAACCTGAAATATTTCCCAGATACAACAGTCTTTAGTTAAGATCATTTTATGTTTGTTATAAACACCTGCACATACACGTTTGTAGCTCCTTTTGCTTTTCTTTTTGAATGGAAAACATTGTCTTTGATTTCTTCTTTGTTTTATATACCGTAACAAAAAAGGTAAGATGGATCACTCTGGGACTTGTGTTAATGATGACTGTATTATTATTATTGTTTGTAATTCGGTGTGATTCCAAATAAAGAGAATGTAAAGTATGTATGATGTACTAAGGGCTTTATGAACCGTTATAAAACTGTTGGAGTAAAACACCCTTATAGATGATTTTTTTTTCAGTAAAATTGGAAGACGTATTGGTGTACAGGTCTTGGAACAAGTTTCTAGTAGTCGTTTCCAGTTATGAGCCAGGCACAAGATCTTCAAGTGAGCCATTATGAGCTCAAAGCATGACATTCACATCAGTCGCATTAGTCTCACAGTGTTATAGACAGCAGTGAATTGTTTAGACAAGTCATCTTTTCCCTGAACAGTAAAAGATATGTATGAAGGGGTAGTATTTAAGAGCACCAAATCCGGCTTACATCATTTCCTGAATGACCTTTGAACAACAGATTCTACTATTTTGAGTGCTAATATTGTTAGTTGCACTCTTGAGTTTCATTGCAGATTTCTATGAAAAACTGAAACATCGATCCCGAAAACGAATCACTAAGCATACGAATAGGAATTTTAATTTTAATTTAGTACAGTACACGTGTATCCTGCCAACAAAAAAGTCATTTTGCCTTTTGATAACACAAAATACCCCATAGGGCCTCCTACTTGCTGCAGCAAACTTCCAATTTTCCCATCTTTACACTTGTTATCAGAGTACATTATGATTTACTCAACAATGACAATAACCTGATGAGTGTCATCCATTTATATGTATCGTTTACATTGTCTACATAGATATAAAGAAAATATGCCTTAACTTGAAGTTTGTGTGTGACATAATTTTAAATCAGTGGCAAGGCAAGTGGCCTGATGTTTGAGGGAAGAAAGCAGCAAAGGGGACCTCTTGAATGACAGAACATAATGAAGTGTCAGAATCAGCTTTATTAGCTTTATTGGCCAGGTATGCTTACACACACCAAGTATCTCACCTCGGTGAATTGTGCTCTCTATGTACATTAAATATACACAACATTAAATATCAACAATAAACACAAAATAAGCAAACATGTACAAGACTAAATTATACAATAGTGCAATTTTTTTTTTTTTTTTTTTTTTTTAAGGATTAAAGGCTGCAAGGCCAATGTCTCATCCGAAACCCGGGGCAGCAGGTGGCAGTAATGCACCACCAAGCTAGATGCCACCGTCGTAATCAAGGAGAAGAACAAGACTGCTCTTTTGAAGCGGGTGTGTATCTGGGGCGAAGATTGCCTTGTCATTGTATTCAGAGAGAAACGCGTGGTCAGTGGCACCACCGACAGCTCCTCTGCAGCCTCACTGGTAAGCTGGCGTTTTTGCTTGACAAAAGCGATGGAATATGCTTCATCTCGTACTTATTAGATTTTTCACAAACTGCCTATTTTTTCTTTCTTTTTTTTTTTTTTTACAATTGCGTGAATAAATTGTAACAGTTAACAAAAAAAAAAACTTGCATAGGCGTTTAGTGATGTAGTTTAATGTACGGACCGCTTTCTTAATTGTTTTTTTTTTTTTTTTTTTTGTCTGGCGTGCTAACGTGAAGTGCACGCCACTCCCCGCCGTGCCACATTGTGTTGTTAGAAAACTCAAATAGTACAAGCTATGGCTTTCCTGTGCTTCAAAACCGTAAAAGACTAAATTTATGGCAGCTTTCGAATCGTTTAAAAATAAATATTAGTCAGTGCTCAGTTAATATTTCATATTGTAAGTGGAAAAATAGCGTTAAACAAAGATTAAAAACCTCCAAATCAACGCGTCATACTGTTCATTGTTCTTCAAAAGGGTATGAATATGTTTAAAACATCTGATAAGTTGTTGCAATTTTCAGTTTGGTTTGGTTTTAATAGCGGTAGCCTGCTATTATTACTGTAAGAATAACCCAGAGTGATTTTTAATGTACGCCCGTTTCTTTGTTGCTTCAGTGGGTCGAGTTGTTTTTAGCTTCCCCTTCTTTAGTTTCACGCTTCTGAGTTAGTATACATTTACTTGAAATCTCACTTGACATTAGAAATTTGACATTTTAAAACCTGACACGCATTTAGAGTTGCTTTATGAAGTAAAGCCTTCTCCGAGAACCCCCCTTTTTTTTTTTTTTTTTAACAAGCCTTTGTCTATGTTTATTGGCGAGGTTTGACGCAGTTACTTTTTCTCGTGTGGAGACAGTAGGTCATGTTTTTGTTTCTTTTTTGTTGTTTCAACGAATGAAAACTGAATTGGGGATCAACTGGAGTGTCATTATGTGCCACCAGTCCTGCTACCTGGGCTGAATGGGCATTACAGCCTCAGATTGTCGCATCTCATTATTGAATTGTTTCTAAAATGATATCGCAGGAAGCCTATCCACTTCCTTCAAATCAATTTTGTGTTGATGAATCGCAAAAGCTGTACAAGATCTACCCCCCTTTTGTTTTTAAAGTGATCTCTCTTTCTTGGGTAGTGAGTAACTTCCTGTTAGTTTTATGAGGATTGTTATCATGATGTCTCTGTTTGATTTAGCCCTGCAGCAAAGTGTGTGGTCTAAAGAAAACAAACACAGACAGTAGGCTCTTGAAAGGTATATTCTTTTTTTTTTATTCACACAAAAAATAATAAATCATTCAGTTAACTATTAGCAGACACTAGATCGATCTGAGCAGTCTAATGTGATCTTAAGCAACAACGTATTAATAATTTGTTTACTGTATGATTATAATGTTGTTTGTATTGATATTACAAGAGAAGTATTAATTTAACTAAACATGTAGCCTACTATAGAAGTCATAGTTCATTTAAAATGTATTGGACTGCTCATGGCTCCTGTAAGAAGTTTTAAAACTGGTTGCAGGACTGACTTATATTACTATTGCTGTCTCTTTATGGCTTACTAAAGCAAACAAACCCGTCAGTGACCAGGTGACATTTCTTTATTGTTCCTCTAAAGGCCTCAAACAGATGCCACAGTGTAGGTGTCAGATAAGGAGATAAATAGTGTGCTGCAGGAACGGCCTTTTTCTCCAGCAAAGATTCAAGTTGGTCTATCTATCAGCATAGAGATGAGATGTATTGCTTTGACCACAGGGGGCGCCAAAATCGACTCAAAAGGAAAGTTCCTCACAGGAGCACACAATATACGAACACTAGAGGGGCAGATTGTTAATATAACATTACAATATCATGCACTCAAGTTAAATACCCCTCACTAATGAACCCAAGTACAAACAAACCAAGTCTTTCTTAATGCATTTTTTTTAAACTTTTTTTTTTTAGGTACTTGGTGGTGTGTAAAGTCAGACTTTGAACCAGACATGGATTTAGAAAAGAGTGGCAAGGTTTTAGATCTGTCAGAGCCTCCACAGCAAGAGAAAAGTGTCATGGAAAAAGAGGTTGTGTCAAAATTGGAGATACCAGAGGAATCCACAGAGCCTGAGAACCCACCAGCTGCTGATGGAGGAACTGAGCAGCTGCTGCCAATGAACGGCCATGGTAAAGAAGTCGATGACTTGAAAGAAACAGAGGAGGTGATTGTTACAGAAACAGTTACATTCTCCGAGGAAACCACCGAAATGGAAATCGAGGACACCCTGCTCTTAGAAAAGTCTGTGGAATCATTGCCCGTTGTGGTAGCTCCACCAGAACCAGATGAGTCATCTGAAAAGATCTCTGACCCAGTGGCAGTTTTAGACGAAGAACCAGAAAACACCCAGCCTCAAGAGCAGCAAGTGTCAGAGAATGACCCAGAACCTTTGCTTGTGCAAACACCTCTGGCAGACATTACTGAACCCGAGCCAGAGAAACTGTCAGAATCAGTCTCTGAAAATGAATTAGAAGCGCAAACCTCTCCTGATCCAGCAGAAGTACAGCAGCTGGTGGATACAGAACCACCCAGTCAGGAAGAGACGGTGTCAGAACCAGTGGAAACTGAAACAGAGCTGCAGACTTCAATGGATACTCAGTCAGAAGATGTTGCCAAAGAGAGTGTGGAAGAAGATGACGTGGCAGTCGAAAATGACATGACAGCTGAACCCACAGGGGAGGCAGAAGAAGAAGAAGAAAAACCTGCAGAAAGGGAGACGTTTGCGGAGACTGTGATAGTGACAGAAGCTTCCTTGGGAAATACGGTAGAATCTGAAGAACTGGTTCAGACTGTGTTGGTGACGGAAGCTCCGGCAGAAACGATGAAAGTCATGGAGACTGAATTTGTGGCTGACATTACCCCAGAAAAGCCAGCAGAAACGGAGAAAGTAATGGAGACTGAATTGTTGGCTGACACTACACCAGAAAAGCCAGCAGAAACGGAGAAAGTAATGGAGACTGAATTGTTGGCTGACACTACACCAGAAAAGCCAGCAGAAACGGAGAAAGTAATGGAGACTGAATTGTTGGCCGACACTACACCAGAAAAGCCAGCAGAAAAAGAGCAACTTGTGGCGACTGAATTGGTGGCAGACATTGCACCGGAAAAGCCAGCAGAAAAAGACCAACTTGTGGCGACTGAATTGGTGGCCGACATTGCACCGGAAAAGCCAGCAGAAAAAGAGCAACTTGTGGCGACTGAATTGGTGGCCGACATTGCACCGGAAAAGCCAGCAGAAAAAGAGCAACTTGTGGTGACTGAATTGGTGGCCGACATTGCACCAGAAAAGCCAGCAGAAACGGAGAAAATAGTGGATACTGTGCTGGTATCTGATGTTTCCTCAGAAAAGCCAGCAGAAGCTGTGACTCTAAAGGAGGAGGCACCGGCTGAAATTGAAAATATAAAACCTGCAGAGGAGAAAAAGGAAGTTGAACCAGAAAAGTCCTTTGAGTCTGAAGCTCTCAAGGGAGTGGAAGCTGCAACAGAGGGTGAAAGTGTTGCATCCGAGGCGAAAGATGTCGAACTTGAAAAAGAAGAGGAAACGGTCCCTGCATCCGGCTCGTTATTGTTTGCACTCCTGCAACAAGAGCAGACAAAAGACGCCCTGCGAACCTCTCGTACCCTGGTTGTCCTCAGAGGCCTTCCGGGAAGTGGTAAAAGCTTCTTGGCGCGTGCCATCGCCGACACGTACAAAGACCACTGCTCTATTTTCTGTGCCGACGAACACGGCGTGAAGCCGGAGAGTCCGGAAACGTCCGCTGATGGATACAAGGCTCTGGACGAGGCTGTGGTGGGCTGCTGCAGTGCGGCAGCAGCCTCTTCTGTGCTGGTGGTGGTGGATGACACCAACCACACCCAGGAACGGCTCGCCCACCTGGGGGAGATTGCTGACCAGCACCATCTTGTTGCCGTCTTCTTGGAGCCACGCACTGAATGGAGTAGGGATCCTGCACAGCTGACAAAGAAGACCAGGCGTGGACTGGATGAGGCCCAGCTGGAGGCCATGAGAGGTCCTCTAGCTGAAATGTCCCTTCCTCTTTTCTTCGGCTGGTTCCTTCTCTCCTCCGTCCAGGACAAGATCAGGTGCACATCCATGGACTTCCTGAAGACCCTGGACACCTTGGATGCCTTCAAGAAGCACTTAATTGACTGTGAGTACTTTTAAGCAGCTTATAACTGAAATCGTTGGCAAGAATGCGATGTAACACTGATCTTTTCTTGTATTTACAGTCACTGGGAAAGCTGAAAAAGAGGTGGATTTGGAGCAATACTTTCAAGCCAAAGGAACCCTCCATTGCACTACAAAATTCTGTGACTATGGGAAAGCAGAGGGTGCCAAAGATTATGCGGAGAATCAAGTAAGAAAACCTTTTTATTTAAAGTTAAATCAACTTTTAAATGCTTAACATGCAAGCACTGATTAACATATCTTTTCTTATTTTGTTCCCTGCAGGCAGTTAACGATCTCTATGGATCTGTGTCCGAGCTCTCACTGAGTGCTCTTTTTGTCACTCCGCGTACTGTGGGTGCCAGAGTGTCCCTCACCGAGGAGCAGCTTGTGCTGTGGCCAGCTGATGCCGAGAAGGAGGCAGATGTCCCTGCAGCTGCCTCCCTCCCTCGGGGCAGCCGCGCCCACATCACCCTGGGCTGCTCGGAGGGTGTGGAGCCAGTTCAAACGGGCGTGGATCTGCTGGAAATCCTGGCCCTGCAGCAGGAAGGCCAGCAGGGGGAGCTGGTGGAGGAGATGGAGCTCGGCTCGCTGACCTACTACGGCAGTGGAAGGTGGCTGCTCAGTCTGAGAGAGCCCATCTGCGCCCCTGCCTGCTTCTCCAGCTACTACGGGCGCAAGGAGGCTGAACCAACCAAAAAGGAACCGGAGCGGAGGAGGAAGCCAAAGTGCACCATACTGTAGACGGCAAACATGGGGGTGTGTGTGTGTGGTTGGGATAACTAGTTGGTTAAAACTTCAGATTACTCTGTGAATGGTTTGTGTGTTTGTGCAGCATTAAGGGTCCAGATGTAGCCACCCTAAATCCACATGCTGTGTGCCTTTTTATTATTGATTTGCACCACAACCCAAGATGCCTTCAATCCAGTTAGGCTTGCTGTTAATGTTCAGTGTCAGGTTTCACATATCGCCGCCAGAGTTTCACAACCTGGCTACTTGCTTAGGTGTTATTAGCTGCAGTTTTAGACCAAGGTAGTGTATCCTCCTCCCACAGCAGTTCTCTTAAACTTGCATTTACTCTTCTATACATTTTAGTGTTTCTAAGTATACAGGTGAAATACTAGGTACTTTCATTGCATGCATTACAGGAAAGCATTTCAACAGTCACACACTATTGACCTGCTAAACGTTCCTCTGACGCTCTGACCACCAACACTGTGTCTGGTGTCTCCTTTGTCATATCTGTCATTTTCATTTCACTATGTTTACGCAGCCTCGAAAAAAAAATACCATATGGGCCAAAGTTATCTATTTGTTTAAGTGTATTAGAATGAATGTCATTAATAGAGGTCTTTCCGTTAAAAATATTTGCACTCTGTATTGTTTGTAGCGAGAATTCTGATGCATGTTTCAGCGCTTGCACTTAGAACTTATGAAAGGCTGTGAATCCATGTTGTTTTGCAATCTTTTCTACTGCGCTAGACTGCACCACGTATCCCTTTTATCCTCTTTGAGCAGCACTTCATGTATTGCATTTCTCTTTGTATCCTCTGTCATTTTTGAAGGACAACTCCTACTTTGTGTAGCTCTTATGAATCCCTATTTTTGCACTTGTTTTGTACACTTAATAAAAAAGAACATGCTTTGCGCCAGGAATGCAACTTACTGCCTGTGTTTCTATTATTGGAGTTTGGTGTCTACATCTAGTACGCAAACAGTCAAACGGGACGGATCACCCTACGCATGGTAGAATGTAGTGTGTGGTGTTAACCAGGAGAGGGCACTGTCCCCTCTGCTTTGCTGGTAGGCCGTGTAGCTTCCTGTTCCTTGTGTCAGAATAGGACTCCACACGAAAATCAACTGGTCAAATTCTTTATTTTAAAAGTACAAAAGACTGCATTTCATGGGTCGAATATTGAAAGTAAAAATGTATTAAACTGTACAGCTGTGAGAAAGTATCCAGAGCCTGTGATTAAAAAAAGAGACCTTCAATCTAGCACCGCACTTTATTCTTACCCATTGTGGTGCATCATCCATTTACAATCATTCTCTTCCTGTATTGCATGAAGAGTTATACAAGTCGAATTGCATTTGTACACTTCATATTAGTCACTTTTTAAATTGAATTTTGCTTTTGTATGGCAATACAGGTATCACAATATCTAACAAATACTGCAGTGTCTTAGAATGACTTGTATATTTTATACTCCACAGTATTTATAAAAATACATATCAAACTAATATTTATTGAAACTAACTTATTGACCAGACTTCAAACTGTGCAGCTGACGCTAGTTTGTTCATATACTGAGAACAAATAGTTTATGGGCCTGTATCAATCAATTATGTGAAAGTCTCATTAATGAAAAATATGCAACAAATGCGTTTTCTCTCCACGTCATCTTTCAAACTACAAATGTGAATCACCTGTGTAGGCCAAGGACACGTTAAAGACCATGAACTGTTGATACGTGGATAAAGCTGGACCTTATTACAGTGTTCACCTTTATGAGTAGGATGTCCTGCGTGAGATACACGAACCAAGTCATTTTCTCATTGGCTGCTGTTTAAAGAGAGAACAATGGCAACCAATCACCACCATAGGTTTATAATTGACCTGCTTTCCCATGAGTGGTGTGTATGAGGGCGCTAGGAAAAAAAACGGACACCTTAAAGTATAAGCAGGACTTAAGTATCCTAGGCCTACTCCAATAATGTACCAAAGTTTGATGTGGGTCTTATTTTAAAGCGTTTGTTATTTAAAGTAGCATATTTAGAAAGACCCGTGGTGGAAGATCTTGTACTTTAGTTAAGGTCGTCATACCACACTGAAATACCTGCAAGTTAAAATCTGCTAAGTTAAAGTAGGCTACTGAGGGTATAACCTATTATAATATTATTTCATCATTGTTATCAATAGAGCTTCAAGATCAAAGTCCCGCGGGTTTACTGTGAACTTTGAAAATCTACATTAAGCTTCTTTACCTTAGAAATATGGAATAAAAAGCCTACTGCTGTTTTTTTTTTTAGCAGTAGGTGATTTCACTGCTGTAGTTGATCAAGGTAGGGCTTATTTAAACTTTTACTTCAACTAGTTTATACATAGGCCTACTTACTTTTTATCTACAGAAATGCATTGTTTTTACTCACACTAGCTGTTTCATAGGCTACATTAGGCTAAGTCTATTTGTAACTGTAGCAATCAACTGTTTGTAGTTGAGCCTGATAATTACATTCAACATATGTATCTAAAATAATTTAAAAAAAATATATGGTATCACATATTCCCAATGTTTTATTTTGCCATTATAAAATAAACTATTTTACTCTGTTCTTTTTCGTTGCATCGTATGGTTCCGATAATTCCCGAATGTCCCTGAAGGCAGCAATAGAGCACGGTGTAGAGTGAACCAATCAGATGCCAGGAAACATCAGCCAAGCATATCAGCAGATGGGCGATGGAGACAAAACTCCCAGGAAGCGCTTTTCTCCACTCTGGTAGCTCCATTCAACACGGACGGCAAGATTGAAGCACCAGTGCCGAGATTAGAAAAAAAAAAAAAAAAAAAAAAAAAACATCCAACATCTCGTATTTCTAGAAACGTCACCGGAAGAAAAATAATCTAAAAAAAAACAGGTAAGTAACTCATTTGAAACGTGTGTCTCTTTACTGTATCCTCCAAGTTGCACTATCTGTGTCTTTCTTTCTGACAAAATGTTTTTTAAAAAAAAGTCAAAACTGCTTATTGTAGTCCACAACAACCAACTAGGATCGAACTTGTATTAATGCATCATCATTACTGTAAAGTTTAAAATAATTACTGTAGTTCCTCTTTGAATGCTTTTGTAGATGTTTCATAAGAATGACGTTGCTGTCTGACCGGTTTGTAAATGAATGAGATATTTGGTTTAAATCCTTATCTGGGACTAACACTTTCAGTCAGACAGGTTTTGTTTGCAGGAAGTAGGTCGAACTTTGCCTAGTTAACAATATGATTTAAAAAAGAAAATAGGGTAGCCTAATTGGATAACTTTAATAATTTGATAAAGTCTATGTTAGTTTCTGTGCCAGTCATCCATCATCCCCGGATTTCAAATGTTATTGTGCGTCATCTGCCACCAGTGTTATTGCTGTTGTGAATCAATGATGTTTAATGCTTCTGACAGGTAAATGGATGATGTGGTACCAGGATAGCTCCTGATATTCTCCTGGTCTGGAATCAGCTCTGTGGTGACTCAGGGACTTGGGCAAATCAATACTGAGAAAGGTCTACGACAGTCCCATTAATCCAGTAAAGAAATGGCTGCCTGGTCTGCAGTTTAGAGCGAGGAGCCCTGTCCGAGTCGAGTCCACATCAGGGGCTTTTAGCTTAATGAAGCACATAGAAAGAAACACACAGAGCAGGTACACCATCACTGCGAGGGTACAAGGCACGCAGAGGCTGTTGGGCTTAGATTCTGGAGAGACGACAGTTGGGGAAGGTAATTCTATTGTACAGACTTTATGAGCCACAATTCATAATATTGAGCAGAGGTAGAAGCAGGAATAACATTTTCCCTGTAAGGACTGAAGGATCTTTTGGATAAGACTTTTGTAAAAGAGTAGGTCTTTAAATTTTTTTTTAAAAAAGGCAGGAGAAGCAGTTCTGGGATATGAAGAGGTGTCATGGAAGAAATAGGATGTCTTCTGTGTCACATCTAGGATAACAGACCTCAGCGCAGTAAATAAGCGGGGTTATATTATTGTTTGTTCGTGTAAGAGTTATCGTTAAATTTACCTGTACAAGGCGTCTGATAGTGGGATTTGCGGCGCTGATGCATCCCCAGCCGTCGCTGTGAGAAATGATTGAATGTCACTGTTTTTTAAATACCACAATGTTGTGTTGTCCTGTTGTAGTTGACCTATTTCAGTCAAGCTTATTGCCATGGTGTAAAGGTCACACCCCATCCATTTAGCAGTAAAATTTATTGATGCTGTTACAATTTTCTTACTTTATTTCCTTGACATTCTTCTTAAGGGAAGTAATTCATGCCACTTGAAAAGATCAATGTACCCATTTACATGTCTGTGCTGCTTTAACATTCTCAGAATATCTGAGCACATCAGTTCAGTCTCATGTAGGTTGTTCGTAGTCCACTTTGCTCTCACTCTGCTGCAGCTACCGTAAGAATCTGATTATTTGAGTGGTAAATAAGTGCCTATTACCCCATTAGTGTGAAGGTCGGACAAACAGATAAATCATGTCGGATTAAACTTCCGCGGTCTCTGTAATGCCCGGTTCATGAGGCAAAACGAATACATCTGACATATAGAGAAGAAAAGGTCTGATTCTGATGGAAAATCTAATTCCCCACATGAGCTGCACATTGTCAGAAAAGGAATCACCATTTTGTTTTTCGACAAATGAAATTACTGACATGATTCGTGATCAGTGGATTTTTTTTTTTTTTTTGCATCACAAAAAATGAAAACAATGATTATGTTTCTTTTGTTGATGTCTGAACAAGTCAAGACATCATTTTCTTACATCTGGGGGAAAATGATTTGTAGTCCAAGGGCATCACTGGAGAACTGCAAAATGTACCGTCACCAAATAATGTCAGCTTCTGAGATTTGAATATTCCCATTTGTCATATTGTAATTTGAATGGGTTGGATAAAACATGCAGCCCAGTTAAACACTACAGTCAGTATTTTCTCTCTCTCTGCAGATCATTTGCGTTGTGATGGGCAGCTTGTTTTCCTCAGTTTTTAATATCATTTATGGAAATCCTGACCACAAAGCTGTCTTTCATTCTCTGGATTACTAGACCATATCTTGACTATTCTGACAGCAGAACACAGTGTTTTTTTTTTGTTGTTGCATAAATTCAGAAATCTGGAAAAGCATGTTTCTTTTTAACCATCTAAGTCTGCTTTTCTGTATTCATCCATCTCTCCTTATCTCTATATATCTGCTCTTTATTCATCTGTATCTCTCACTCCATCTCTCTCTCTCTCTCTCTCTCTCTCTCTCTCTCTCTCTCTCTCTCCTAGGCCAGTCCAGCCAAAGCAGTCATGTCGGCAAAAGCCATCTCCGAGCAAACGGGAAAGGATTTCCTCTACAAGTACATCTGCACGTCTGCGGCTGTGCAGAACAGATTCCGCTACGCCAACGTGACGCCAGAGACCGACTTTGATCGACTGGCAAAAGAGCACCCATGGCTGCTCACAGAGGTGAGGCAGCAGAACCCCAAAAAAATATGTTGGGATAATGACGCAAGACTTTCCCAATCTCAGTGAACAGTTATCACATAACAAATGTTAGCCTATAAATGCCTGAAGCACATTGTCCCTCTGTAGCTTCTGTATAATAAGCTCATCTTTTAATGAGAAAACTTAAGTGCACGCATTCAGGCAAAATGGATACAGGTGCAAGACAAGGAAAAAGGTCTGCACGCTGTTCGGCTTCCGATGGGCAATTTCTTTTTTAAACATGGCAACCTTCCGATCTTCAAGATGGTCTTCAGTTCAAGATGACTTAGGCTGGCTGCACAGTGTTCTCCTGGTGCCTGTTAGCTGATGACACGGACGGTAAAATGATTCTGCAGATTGGTTACACTCATTGTGGAAATTTGGTAGAAATGCAAAAGACAACATGAGAAAGAAGTGTTTTTTCTCTTTGA